TTTTTTTTTTTATGTCTGTTGCCACTTTTTCTCAGCTCTCACTGGACCGATTTCTTTCAAAAATACGTCAAAAGATCACAAATTGTATCTAGTTGAAGACATTACCCTTAAAAATTGAAAAAAATTCCCTCGTTCCCCGCAAATGGGGGAAATATCCAAAAAAATTACAAATTTAAAAATCGCTAATTTTCGAAATTTTTTCACTTTTTTTTTCTTAAAACTTCCATAACTTTTTGAAATATCAACAAATCAACATAATTTTTTTTATATACTAAGACCTTAGATATTTACCTTTCATTTGATATCATTTTTTTGAAAATCTATCACTTAACCTGCTCATTGGGGGGGATTTAAACTTTTTACAAAAATTAACTTAATTTTTGAAAATGTTCCGGAAATACTGCGTCCTTCAAACATATATTAAATTAAAGCTTTTTTTATGTACTATAAAATGAAAAAAAAAAATTTGTCCCGACACTTTTTTTTCTACATTTAAACGGCTGCCGTAGTTAAAAAAACACTATTTTTGTGTTACGATTTTCGATTTTAAATTTTCAACTTAAAAATGCTATAACTTTTTGAAAAATGTATATATCAGCACAAATTTTTTTTTTCTAAATACATTATAAGTACATCTTTCATTTGACATACTTTTTTATTAAAATTGGACAATTTCAAAACTTGAAATATTGTAAAAAACATAGATCTTTTTCAACTGAACTTTTGAAAATGTTCCGGAAATACTGCGTCCTTTAAACATATATCAAATCAAAGGTTATGTTATATACTATCAAATGAAAAAAAAAAATTGGTCCCGACGACCTATCTACTATGTGAAATTTGCTGTCAAAATTTTTAAAAAATGTAATGTTTGCGATAAAAATTACCTTTTATAGGGATGTTTTTTGTACTTAAAACTGCCATAACTTTTTCAAAAATGAACAAATAAAAATAATATTTTTTTGTATTGAAACCTTAGATATTTCCCTTTCATTTGATTTAATTTTTTTTTAAAATCTAACACTTATTCTGCTCACTGGGGGGATTTAAAATAGTAACTTTTTTACAAAAAATAACTTTTTCAACTTAATTTTTGAAAATGTTCCGGAAATACTGCGTCCTTTAAACATATATCAAATTAAAGCTTATTTTATGTACTATAAAATGAAAAAAAAAAATTTGTCTCGACGACCTATCTTCTATGCGCAATTGGCTACCATATTCAAAAATATGTTATTTTAACAAATTTTTTTTTTTTAATTAAACACTATCTACAGATTTGCATTGAAGCGTTTTTTATGATAGTGATTTTAATCACTGTCAGATATCATCTATACTGGACCCAACTATGCCACGACCCCACTGTTCTGGGTTTTTTTTTAAATAAAGTCAATATAGTTATATAATCATAACTGTATTAAGTTAGTACACTTATAATTAATAATTATTAATTATAAGTTTACTTTACTTTTTACCGTAGAATATAATGTATTGTAGTTAATTATTCAACAAATAAAAATTAGAAACTTTTGTTGCAAATTTTACAAAATAAAATATTTTTTTGGTATTAGTAGTGTATATAGTTATTCAGTTTTAGTGTGACCACAAAATATTTTGTACAAATAAATNTGAACCATATTTTCTTTTAAGTGTAGTATTCATTTAGCTTAAGACAATTTTTTTTGTGACTTATAAAAGCTATATTTAAATTATAAACATTAAATAAAAATATTTGTTTACTTTGTATTAATAAAAATTATCATTTTTTATTTTAGCTTGGCATTCAGTAGTAGACATTGAAGAATCATTAGAAAGTAAGTAAATTAATTAACTTACTTTTATTTTATCAATTTTAAATTAATTTTGCATTTAATGTTCAATTTTTTTTTATTAGACTCAAAAAAAATTGTATACTTTCAACCTCAAAATACAACAGATATACTTAACGGTAAATATTTTCTAATATTCAGTTATAAAATGTACCAATTTGTCACTTTAGATTTTTGTTATATTTGAGATTATAAATAAAATAAAATATTTATGTTATATTAAATGTAACCATAAACTTGTTTATCTCTGAATATGCTATTACTAAATGTTTTATTGTATCTATAGTTTTGAATATTACAAGAAAAATGTTTGACAGTTAAATGTAATATAAATTATATTCAAGTTATACTATAACTTGAATTTTTTTTATGATTAGTTTAATTTTGAGAAAAATAAAATCTGAAATTATTAAGTTAATGTATATTCATGTACTTCAAAATTGTTTTGTTGTAAAACAATTATAATTTATTTTAAAATTAACATTTGAAAATAAGAATATTATTTGAATTTTTAATGGCAAAACTGACTGTTTGGAGTAAATTATGTATTTACAATTTCCTAATACAAAATGATTAAAAAAATAATATTAAATAGATTTATCTCCTTTTTCTATTAAGTGATTCGTTTATACAAGTTAATGACTAAATTTTATTTTTACTTAACATATTAACACTATAAAAATTTCAAATCAATGTTTAATATTTTTTTTTAGATTTTCAAGCATTTGACTTAGAAACATATTGGATCAAGAGGTTATACAATAATATAACAAAATCAGTGCCATGATTTTTTAGTGCAATACTTTATAGAATAATGAGACTTGCCAGAAGCTTATTATGTTTGTTAAAGATATGCTGAAGCTTGCATACATATTTAGTCAATTTTGTGCATCAAAATCTAGATTTTTTTTTTTGTTATTTAAATAAAATTCTGGAGAAATTGGAGGGTTTAATGGCTATAGTAGTTCCATAGTAGTTTATAAAATGTATGTTAAAAAAAAATTGTTATTACAATTATTGTATTGATTAATGTCTTGTGTTTCCTGATATTTTACTATTAATTATTTATTTGTTATTGTATTATACAAATTTATGTAGCGAGTTATCTGAACAAGACTGAAATTTGTATTCAACATTTACATACAGCTTTGCTTATCTTTTTTCCTCTAGATCAGGCCTAAAAACATTAGATGTTATGGAAATTAATTTACTTTGTTTAGTCAATTTTAAATATTTTTAACTTTGTTCATTTAATTTTTAATATGTAAATTAAATCTCTTAGTTTTCATCAATTTAAAATAAAAATGCAGGAAAAAATTACTTTTTCAACTTCACATTGAAGTTCAATCTTTTCATTAAACATCTTGTATATACTGCTTATTACAAATTATGTAAATTTTGTAGCTAAATGGTAAAAGTTTATGTAAAACTTGTGCAATTGTTTTCAAATAGACAGTAAGTTCACTTGTTATAGTAAATTGTAGAGTGAACTTAGTTGTATTTGAGTATGATAAAAAATTTTTTTATTAGAAATGAGATATTTTATTATTTATTTAAATTTTAGTCTTCCAAGTCATAAATAGTCTCATATTATGTAAATCGAAAAATCTCCAATTTGTTTAAAGCTGCAACATTCTCTCTTCTAACAAATATTCTGTTAACTAAATCTAAAGTCAACAGATAAGAGTAAATATGAAATGTCAGGAAATTTTAGTAATTTCCTAAGACTTCATCATCAAATAGTGAATTTTTTATCATGTTTCAAATTATTCAATCACTTAAAAAATAAATGTTAACTAATATAATTATGTTACTATTGTTGAATGTTTTATAATATTTAATATAAGCCAGGAAATTGCATTTTTGCAATTTCCTGGCTTGCAATTTTTTCTTCTTTTATTTTAAGGTATTAAGTTTTTAGTTCTTACAAAAGTTGGAAGAACTAGAATCATTGCTAGTGTCATTTATCTATTTTATAAATTAAATAGGTTTTAACCTAAAAATATGGTATATAAAAAATAATCTAAAACTAAACATAATGATTACATTTTTTTTAGAATTATACAGACTAATAATAAGAATAAAAAAAATTGAGGTACATAAAATTACATAAAAATATCCTAAAGTACAATTTACTACATTTCTAACTTAATTATAATTTAAAAAGAAATCATTAAATAAAAAATTATATTACATTCAAAAGTATAATACAAGTATTAGTAGTTATCTAAGGAAAATTGTTCACCAATTAAAAATTACACATTTTATGAAGACCAAAAAATTAAAATTTGTACTAAATAACAATAATTGAGAAAAAAATGAATTTTCGTGAGAGCTATTACATGATTGAATAAATTATGTAAAATAAAATAGAGAGCTTAAAATGAAATAGCAAATTAATTTTATAATATAGAAATAAATGATAAATTTAGGGTATATTTATTTATTTATTTTTCATTTCATTGGTAAATTATTAATTGTAGTAAAAATTTCACAATTTTTCACTGTCCACGGATGTTGCATAACTTCATCCAAAGGTAATCTATTCTTAGGTATTTTTACTAAAAGTTTTTGAATTAAGCTTCTAGAGCTTTCACTCATATGGGGTTTAAAACCATAAGTGACAGCACGTATTTTTCGAAAAGTTTCTGCTTGTTCAGAACTTTCAAATGGAGGAGATCCACACAAAAATTCATAGCATAAAACACCCAAACACCAATTATCTACATATTCATTGTATGTTTGAGAATCTACCATTTCTGGTGGAAGATAATCAATGGTACCACACATTGTACTACGGCATTTGGATGGTGCATGAACTGACCACCCAAAATCTGCCAGTTTTACTACATGATGACTAAATAATAATAAATTTTCAGGTTTGATATCCCTGTGGATTACACTTTGCATATGGCAATATTTCAAAGCATCAGCAACCTGTCGTAGATAATATGCAGCAGTTGGTTCAGTAAATCTCTTATGTGGTTGAGCATTTAATACTTTGAATAATTCTCCTTCCTGAGCAAATTCCAATATTAAATAAATTTTTTTTTGGTCCCAAAAATATGTTAGCATTTTAAGGATATTAGGATGATTTAAATGAGTTTGAATTTCTATCTCACGTCGAACCTGATGTTCCATATGATCTTTAACCAATTCTGATTTAAACATCATTTTCAAAGCTACCATGTACTTGGTGTTTTTCTCACGAGCAAGATAAACTCTGCCAAATTTTCCTCGGCTTAAAGGAGTTCCAACTTCAAAATCACTCAAAGACCACTGATGATTTCGAGATCGATTGGAACGAATTTCAATCATTTTATTTTCTATTTCCTTGACAGCTTCTTTTGTTTTATCATCTATTATTTCTTTCATGGTTTGATTTTTTTGTATTTTAAGAGGTTCAATATATATTTATAAAGAAATTTGAACTGCAATAAAAAACATAATAAAGTAATTAATTTATTCTCAATAATATATGTGAATTAATTTATTAATCACATAAATAATCTAAATGTGATGAATGTGATTGTAGGTACTTTAGAGGGTCAACATTTTGAAAATTTTTTTAATTATTTCTTTTTTTATTTATAAGTAAAAGTTTTTTTTTATTCTAGAGTAAAAAAATTATTTCTGCAAAATTTGATAAATGTTAATTTGTACTACAACAATTTTATGAGTGAAACTCTTTAAATTTTAACATTTTTGTGTATACTCTTTTAACATATATTTTCTAAAATTAAACAGATCCTCTTTTTGTTTCAATCTTGATTATAATAATAAATCCATTATTAAATATTAAATTTCATGTTTATGAAATTTAGTTAGGACTATTATAATATTATAACTGTATCATAAAGTTATATGATGTATTAAGTATTGAAAACAAATAAATAATTAATTCAGGCATCATATTTTTGGTAAAAAATAGTAAATAAATTTATAGGTCATTTAATGACTATTAAGTTCATAATATTGTTTTAACAAGCTGTGAAATGTTCTAAATTTAATTTATAGTTATTTATTATAAAAACTAATATTTGGTAATAAAGTCAGGTGCACACCAGATGTTAATTGAGTTGTTTAAAAAAAAAAATTATTATATCTTGATATTATAATTTGGAGACTTTCATAATATTTTTCTCAATATTTAGTTGGTTATTAAAGTTAATAAGTGATTTAAAAAAAAAAAAAGATACCTCAGTGCGATTGCGACACAGTATGGACGTGGGATAGTTGGGATAAGTATAGATGATATCTGATAGTGATTAAAATCACTATCATAAGAAACACCATGATGCAAATCTGTAGAGTGTTTAATTTTAAGAAATTAGCAGATTATTCTAAAAGCATATTAACTCCTATTACTTTAATTATATCCTGATTAGTAATTCTTAGATTTAAATTATAATATATGAATAAACATTTATAGCAAATAAATATAGTATGAAATTAATCTTATTATATAATAGAACAAGGAAAAAAACGCTTTTCTGGGAAAATTATTTAGCGTGCTCTGATTTTCGAAATTTTTTTTTTCAACAAAAGTACTCAGTCATCAGACTCTGGGAAAATTATTGCCAAAGGTGAGAAAATTTTTGACACTCGCCCACAAGCGTTTTAAATTTTTGATCGTTTTTGAGAAAAACATTTGTTGACACCAGCGTTTAACGACTTAAGGAGTATATCATTTAAATTGGGATCCATATATGACAACTTTGATGTTGGACAGCATTCCAATGTCAAATCGCAGTTACCAATATTTTTATCAAAATAAAATTTTTTACATTGTCCCACATATAATTAGAATATTAATAATTTTTGTGTATACCAGGGGTGTATTTAAAGGGGGATATGAAATAAGGACCTAATGTCTTGTTTTTTGATCATCACTTTGATTTATAGCATGTTTAATAAAGTAAAAAAATATTAAATACACTCCTAAAATAATTTCTGAATACACCTAAGAGGAATACCTTAATAATAAACGTCAACTTTTTTTAAATTTTCTGATTTTAATAATTAAATTTTTAATATATTTTTGTTACATTGATTCTGATGTAATATTTTTTCTGCAAAACACTTATCGTGCTCGGCATAGCCGGATACTACTGGAATCAGTGATTCTCTTATGATGACGGCCCAAAGAGGCTTACGCACTGAAGGCTTTTAAGGTTCATAGAGCCATAGCTAAGCAAAGCCTAGAATTTAATAATGTAATACTGTAATTTTACGGAGAAAAAAAAAAGGATTAAGTAGTATATTATATTACTTATATGGCAAACATGTATGAAAATTAAAGAACTTGATGCTATACTTTATAAAATATTTTTTATTTACCTATGAATAAAAACACTAGTCTACCTAACCCAAACTAGACAAACTTGTAGACTAGTGAATCATTATAATCAAAAATTAAATTTTCGCACTGTTTTCAAATCTGAGATAAGACTTTTTCTATCACTTCTGATATTATTTTTAATTATAAACAAATGAGCACTTACATTTAATAAAATAATTAAAAACAAAAAAAACATTGTTTTTAAATTATTACTGATTTTGATTTTTGATATGTTACAAATAATCTGTGCAAAATAACATTTTAAATATATTTTATTGATTCTTTAATGTTAATTTTTGTGAAAGTTTATAATAAAAAAAAAAGTTGAATTTGTTATCATAACTTTTAGCCGAACTTGTAAGTTTAAAATTGACATCATTAAATAGAAAATTTTATGAGAATAAAAAAAATGGCATTGCTAAGATTAATATGCAGTCAGGAAATTTTATAATTTTATAAAAATTTTATAATATATATTTATAATTTTATAAATATATATTTATATATTTTATAATAAAATAAATTTATCAGAAAAGTTCAATATTTTTTTTGCATTGTAATAGATCACTTAGATAGAAATCATAGTAATAATTTCTAATTAACTTTTGGTGTTTAAAAAAATTCTACAATTGAAATATTCAGAACTTAATTAATTTTAATGATTTACTTACTTTAACTAAAAAAACCAATCATATAATTGATAAAAAAATTTACTTAAATGAGTATATTATAAAATTTGATTATATATGTAAAAATTCATTGTTAAATTCAGGTGAAACTAAAAATAATTTTTTTTTTTAGAAATGATTTATACAGCTACATGTTACCAAAGAAATTAGATTATTATATACTGCTAGTAACACACACAATTAGTTATAAAATTAATAAATTACAAAGAAAAACTATTTAATTTTGTAGTTGAAACCTATTATCATATTAAACCCGATTTGGCAATAAATACTTTAAAAACATTAGAAATGAATGATGTTAATTGACTATATGGAAAATATGGGCTAAGTAACTTTTTTATTGATAAAGTGGACATATTTTTTTGTAAGGTATTTAAAAAGAAATAAAATAAAATATAAAACTGAGAATTATAACACAAAAATAGAATATTTTCAGTAGCCATTTCCACCATGAAGACAAAATAAAATTCAAAATTTTTTTTCATATTAAAGTATATTACATACACATTAATTTAATATATATATAAAAGTATCAGTGTTTTTGGAACACTTTCAAAGTGAAAGTGGAATATTTTATTTTTTATGGAAAAGTTATTATTTTGAATCTCCCACTGAGGGTAAATGAAAAGCCAGATTTAAAAAAAAAATGTACCAAATGATAGCTTAATACCTAAAGTATATGTAAAAGAATTTGTTATTATTCATCTATTTTTTAAATTTATGGCAGTTTTAAGTAAAAAAAATTGAAATAATGTCTAAAATTACCAACTTTTAAATTTTAAATTTTTTTGGAGATTTCCCTCATTTACAAGGGATGAAGAAAATTTTTTTTTCAATTTTCGAGGGTAATTTCATTAACTAGATATGATTTTTGATCTTTTGACATGTCGTTGAAAGAAATTGGTTCAATGAGAGCTGAGAAAAAGTGGTAACAGACAAAAAAAACATATAACAGTAAAATCAATACTTTCTCAGCTTCGCATCAAAGCTAAAAACCAGTCAAATTCAAACTTTTTTTTTTTTGTTACATGTTAACATTTTCAGGTTGGTTTCAAATTTTCCAAAAAACATTTTTTACTCAATAGAATAAAAAAAAACGATGATCCTCAAAATAATTAAAAAATTTGTCAAATTCTTATTACCCTAATGTACGCATTATCAACCAACTCTTTTAATTGTCGATTATTAAGCTTAAATTAACTAAAACTCAAGTTTGAAGACTTTGTTTGGTTTAATTAATTAATTCTTCCCAATACTCAATACATAATAGAACTTTATTGTACAGTTGTAGTATTATAATAGTTCTAAACAAATTTCATAAACATTTAATAATAAATAACAGAATTATTATTATAATCAAGATTGAAACAAAAAGAGGATCTGTTTAAATAAAATATATGTTAAAAGGATTATTTAATGTGGCAAAAAAATTAAATTTTAAAGAGTTATAAGTAGGTGTAAATTAACATTTACCATAATGACGCATACATATTACTGTATAAAACAATTATTTAAGAACAATACTTAACAGTTAACATATTCGACTTGTTTAATTACAGACTAAATAATTATACATTTCTAAAATAAAATAGCTTTACACATAACAATGTTGAAAAACAATTTTTTTTAACCTAGTATATTCAAATTTTTGCCGTCAGTTAATAGACAACATAATAAACTTCATAAATAAAATACTTACAGTTGATTTATCGTTTGTTATCTTACTTCAAATTTCACTTAATTTTAGAAATACATAAATATTAAATTTTAAATTTCAATCAAATTAAAGAAAAACTGATCATCGTAAAATTTATAAACGACGGTTACTAATGATTATTGAAAACGGTAAAATCTTATCCATGAATACCACGAGTATTCAAAATGCAGCTTACTCATTGGTCAGATAGTCTCGACATCATCTTTTTTATCACTTAAACTTGATTTCCTTATCAAACTCAAGGCTATTGGATTATATTTTAATTTTTTCGCCGTATATTCTGCGATGTAACTATTCTTTTTGTTATTACTCCTTAGTCATTCTACATTGTGTGTTATGTTCGCTATTTGCTTATAATTAACTCTGTTGTTTTGTGCTACGACTCATTATTATGTAGCTAGAACTAATTATTAAAATGTGAAGCCGCGTAATCTTAGCATACTTGTATTTAAAATCGCAAGCATATTTCTTTGTTTGTGTATTCTAATCGATCAGTGTGATAATTTAAATGTCGTGCAATAAGTGGATAGTAAATTCATAAAATGAAACTACTAATTTATTTTATTGTCATTCTATTTAGTCAAATAAATTGTGGCGCTCAAAATAATTCAATAGTTATTCCAGATGGAGAAATTCATCAAATATTTAAATTAAATCAGAATTCAACATCAGACACGCCAAAAGTTTTAAATAATAATACGGTCAATAATAATGTAACTACCATTACAACACCACCAATATCTAATGAAACTACTGCTAACTCTACGGATATGACTCCTTCTAGTACTCCTGGGGAGCCTGTTTTACCTAAAAAAGGCTCAGCTGAAGAAGAACGAAATAGTTCAATAGCTATTTTTTTTGTGCTCACTGTACTTGCCTTAGGCATTCTTCTTGTTCATTTAATGTTGTCAACACATTTTCAATATTTACCAGAAAGTTTTGTAATTGTTGTTCTTGGTGGTATCATTGGACTTATTATAAATCTTTTATCTGAACAAAACATTGCTAATTGGCGTAATGAAGAAGCCTTTTCCCCAACAGCATTTTTTCTTGTACTTTTACCACCAATTATTTTTGAATCTGGGTATAATCTACATAAAGGAAACTTTTTTCAAAATATTGGTTCAATTTTAGTTTTTGCTATCATTGGTACTACTATATCAGCCCTAGTTATTGGTATTGGTATTTATATACTTGGTATAGCAGATGTAGCTTATAAATTAAGTTTTGTTGAGAGTTTTGCTTTTGGTTCATTAATATCTGCAGTTGATCCTGTTGCTACAGTAGCTATTTTCCACGCATTAGATGTTGATCCTGTACTAAACATGTTGGTGTTTGGGGAGAGCATATTAAATGATGCTATTGCCATAGTATTAACCACATCAGTATTACAATCAAATGGACCAACTATGAGCACATCTGAAGCTATAATGACTGGAATTAAACAGTTTTGTTTAATGTTCTTTGCTTCAGCTGGCATTGGAGTAATATTTGCATTGATAAGTGCCTTATTGTTAAAATATGTAGACTTAAGAAAAACTCCTTCCTTGGAATTTGCCATGATGTTAGTATTTACTTATGCGCCATATGTTTTAGCTGAAGGAATTCATTTGTCAGGTAAGTTATTTCAATAAATTTTTTTTTTTTAATTAATTCATTAATTTTTTGATAGGAATAATGGCTATATTGTTCAATGGAATTGTTATGTCTCATTATACACATTTTAACTTATCTACAGTTACACAAATTACTATGCAACAAACAATGAGAACTTTAGCATTTATTGCTGAAACTTGTGTATTTGCATACTTGGGTCTTGCATTATTCAGTTTCAGGTTAAATTTTCAACCAGCTTTAGTTATCTGGAGTCTTGTTTTATGTTTAATTGGAAGAGCTTGTAATATTTTCCCATTAGCATATTTGTGTAATAAATTCAGGGAGCATCAAATAACTAAACATATGATGTTTATTATGTGGTTTAGTGGTTAGTATATTTATTGTTTAATTTATTTAAAATTTATTATATCATTATTGTAATAGTAACATATATCATTTTTTTTTTTTTAATAGACAGCATATTTATTTTCCTAATAAGTATATTGTTTCTAATTTAAATTAGTAGCATAAAGAAAATATACAAAATAATTTAGCTTAAAATGCAAAAAACTAAATAAGCTATTTGAGCTATAACTGTAAAAGTACATTTTTTAATTATTATAAAAATTTTAAAGCTTATTCATATCAAAAATATTATTTCTCATTTATGCTGGAATTATAATATATAACATGAATTTTTTTTATCCTTGTTTTATGCTAAATGGTGTTCCTTTTTTTTGCTATTGATCCAATAATTATAACATGCTGAATTTTATTCAAAATAACACCTTAGATATGTTCCTTTTATTAGTAATATATTTTTTTGAAAATCCAACCTTTTCTTTGTCTAAAAAAGGGTTCAAAATAGAGACTTTTATGTGAAAAGTACACTTTTTCAATTTAAAATGTTCTAGTAATATTGTATCTTTTAAACAATGATTAAATTAAAGTTTATGTTATATGCTACAAATTGAAATAAAAAAATTTTCTCGGAACTTAATTTTTTATATTCAAATAGCCTTAGTTAAAAAACATGTTATTTTTGTTTTTAAATTTTTGATATTATATTTTATAATTTTAACTTTTTAAAAAATGCATGGATTAATAACATTTATTATTTTTAAGTACTTCATATATGCCCCTTTCATTTACTATAATTTTTTTTTTATTTATCTGACCATTCCCACTTATACAGAGGTTCTAAACTTGAAACATAAATATAAAAAGTAAATTTTTTTTAACTTAACTTATGAAAATGTTCCGGAAATCCTGTATCTTTTAAATATACGAAATAAAAGTTCATATAATGAACAAAAAAAATGTTTACCCAATGACTTGTATTCTATATATATTTCAAATTAAAATTAAAATAATAATCGAAAATCAAAAAAAAAATATTTTTGTGTAGAAAATTCGCTATTTTTTGTATTATTATAATTTTTTAGTTCAATTGTTAATGCTTATATTTAAGGTCAAACAGTATAGTCATATAGATGGATTTCATGACAATAAATCCAATTCCATATTTCCAAACCTTATTTTGTCCAATAAATAAAAATCTAATTACCAATTACATTCATAAAAAATTTTTATTGTAACTAAGACATTGGCCTACAATAATCCTAATTTTGGTCCAGCAGAAATATTAAAACAAGGTATGGAGGGTTTTATTATTCAAGAGGTTTTGGATTATATACCACATAAGACGTAATGTTAATTTACAACTGAATACATCTCACCAATAACACCTAATATGCTGACAGAAGTTGTGATTGAAATTCCTCATACTTTAACAAAATGAAATAAGTCATTTGTAGTATGATAGTAAATATAACGACCATGGAAGTCTAATAATATTTTATTTAAAAATAAAAAGTAAAATTACTATTTGCTATGCTGCTTATTCCAAAAAAAAATCTAAGTTCGCATCCCACTTTGTAATCCACTTAGAAAATCACCATATTAATATATGTTAATATATATCTTTAAATATATTAAATGTAGTCTATTGTCTTAATTATGTCTTATTAGTTATTTTATCTAATTTTATTTTAGAACTTCTATAAATTGTAAAAAAATTAATTATCTATCATTAAGAAATCTACTGTTGCTAAGATAATTCTTTTAAAATAATTTTTTATAAACTTTTTTAACTTTAGTTACAATAATATTTATCTTATATCGCTACTAAATAATCTTCTTTCAGTTTTGATTATGTGTGTAAAGTAAGCTAATATTTATTTTATTACTTATCTTGTTAATTATTTCTATTTTTTGATAAATTTTTAATTACATTGTATTTAAGCTTTAATATAAAATATATATGATAATAAATATATTTATCTACTTTTAGGACTTCGAGGTGCTATCTCGTATGCATTGTCACTTCATTTAGAATTTAGTGATGAAACAAGGCATGTGATAATAACTACTACTTTAGTTATTGTATTAGTCACTACCTTAATATTTGGTGGATCTACAATGCCTTTAATGAAGGTAATAACTAATATTAAATTATAAAACTAAGATATTAATTTTATGGTTTAATATATTCATGATTGTAGATTTTGAAAGATTCCAAGGCTGGGAGAAATACTCGTAGAAGAAGAAAAGATAAAGCAATTTCTTTAAGTAAAACTAAAGAATGGGTAATGTATTATACATAAATTCAAATTTTAATGCTTAAATTTATAAAGTTGAGAACCACTTATTCAGTATATTTATGTTACTTTTGAATAGAACACTTTATTTAACTTCATTTTGATTCAAAATATTTTGGTTAAAATTCTAGTTTTATATTGTTCTTCAGATTTGGTATTATAATAAAATGATAAAAAAATTTTTTTCTTTGATAAATAATTTTTTTTAAATAAGAAAGTAAAATTTATTAAATTATAAAAATTAACTTAAATTCATTACTCTTAGAAATGTTACCATCCCTTATGATTTATTATTATTGTCTTTTTATAGCTCTATTAAATTCATTATGTGATTACTTTATTTTTATGTCCTATTAAATTAAATTTTAAATCATTAATGTTTAATTAGGGACAAGCAATTGATTCAGAACATTTGTCAGAATTAACTGAAGAGGAAATGGAAGTTAACTTTATTCAGTCTAGAATTAGCGGTTTTGCAAAATTAGACATCAAGTATTTTATACCATTTTTTACTAGACGTTTTACTCAAGAAGTAAGAAATTTACGAGATATAAATATTATGCTATCACAGTTATAATTAAAATAAAAAAATAACTGTTAATAATTTTCTTACTGAAATAAATTTTTAGGAATTGAAAGATTGTAAAACACAAATGACTGACCTTACTAACCAATGGTACCAAGCTATACGTATATCACCTACAGCATCTGAAGATGATAAAATAGCTTGTAATGGACAGTCTCAATCATCAAGCCGTCAATCTAGTTGACAGTTACCACAATTACAAGTGGTCAGACCAAGTAATGGAGGAGAAAAGCAGTTATTGATACAACGTCAAAACAACAAAATGTAACAGTTTTATTTTACAGGTAAAAAACTGTTAAGTGATATTTAGAGCTTGTCGGCTTTCAGTTTACCACAACCCTTGGCCAAATAAAGTTAATAATTTATGTACTTAAATTAAATCTTTTAAAATAAATCATTATAATGCATAATGAATTTCATTGTAACTTATATATATATTTATATATTTTTAAAAGGAGATTCAAAATGTACTTTAATTTTTACTATAGAAGTCTGAGTTGGAAATATATTATTAAAAACTTATAAATGTTTTGATAGTCATTTAGAATATTTCGTATGTATTTGTTTATTATACAACACTACTGTATTTCTTCAAATGAATAACATTTTATTATCCTATTTATTTTTTATTGATAAATTATGATTAGTTGTTAAGATATATGACACAAGGTAGGTGCTATAGAATATTTAATTAAATGCTTTATTATTTAATGTTATTTTCTTTTTTAATCTTATTAATGTATTAAATACATATTATGTAAAATTAACAGCCAATTGTACTGAGTGGATTGTATATTAGTATAAATGTTTATTGACGAGTTATAAAAAGCTTTGAATATGATTAGACTTACAATTCAAAATGCAGAATATTAATAATCAAGATCCCTATGCAAAAATGCATTACTAGAATCGAAAAACTAATATTCTTATCTCACTATGAAAATTATTCAATTTTTTTTCATTTTATTTTACAATTTTGAAGAATATAAATATAAATTAATATAAATTTACAAATTTTAATATCATTTATTGAACAAAACAGTTATTTTATTTGTTATGTTACCAATTTTGTTTATTATAAATAAGTTGTTTTCTCATTATAAGGCAAATTTTTATTGTTCTAGATTTAATATAAATTTAACTTATTTTTTGTCAAATTTTGGTATTTTATTAACTTTGAATTATTGTTGTAACCTGTTCAAAATCATCAATAGTAAAGAAAATGTGTATTTAATAATATTAAAAAAAAATAAGTTCTTATTAACATAGTCAATTGTAATAAAATTCATTTTTACTTTAATGTTATTTATACAATTTTAAAACTAAATTTTTAAACTAAAAATCAATTTAATCAATATCTTTATGACTTACTTGATAATTTACTAATTTTCATTTTATTTAAGTACAATTAAAATATCAAGTAAGATAAAGTAAAAACAAAACAAAAACAAGTTTCAATTACAATAGTGTTTCTATACATAACTTATGCTATTATATTTGTTGACTAAAATTTTGAGAGTAATAATGAATAATTTATAAGGCTAAAAGTCAAAACACAATATTCCACTCATTAACATTATAATTAATACAACAATTGTTAATTCTGAATAAAGTAGCCTCACATAGATAAAATAATATTTATTTATTTCATGTAAGAATAAGTAATAAAAGTATTATTAATTATTTGAGTTATAATAATTAATGCTATGAAATAGTAACTAAAAAAAGTTTGATTAAATAAAAAAAATATGCACTGTCTATTTCGTTGCAGTTAAGTCCATGATAGCTAAAAGAGGATCCTAAAGAATTTTCTTAATGAATCCAAATTCCCTTAGAAATTGAGTTTGTCGAAAAACATATTTTTAATTTTTAAGAAACCCAATATAATAATATGTACATTGTCGATCGTCCTGTAAATAAAATAAAAGTTTTTTTTTTATTATTTCTTGGGAAAGTGCTAAATTATTTAATTTTTATTAAAATAAGAATTAATAGTAATTTTATACACATAATGCAATAATTAATAATAATTATTTTTTTACAAATAATATCTTTACTTCGGATGTTATTGTTTGACAATTAATGCAACATTCATACAACCAGAAACGTATTCAGATATTTGTCACCCTACAACATTTTTTTCATACCTTTTTTACATCACAAATGTTTTCTCTGCATTGCTAATTATTAAATTATTGATAAGTAAAAAAAATTCAAACAACTATGTAAAAAACTAATGCTGACCGAGGCATTTGCCCTTTCTAGTTCACCCCAAATTATGACCCGATAACAACCAAGTCTATATTTTTCTAAATTTTTAAAGAACAAATGGTTATAATCTTGAAATAATTATGTAAATTTGTTAAAAAGTTATTAATATTTTATTACATTGGCTATATCATTTTAATCAAGTAAAAAGAACTATTTTTTGGTATTCAAATATTTCTTATGTAATAATTTAATATTTCTAAAATTACCAAATAAATCACAATAAAGCTTTTCAATGAAAGTCACGGTCCCGTTGAGATTCCAATTTCAAATCTTCATATCATTAAATAATCGGAAATAAGATAATGAAGATTTAATTAAGGTAATTCAAAATAGATCATATAAATTGACATGTCTCGTGCTAATATACCCTTTATAAACGTTAAGGTGCAGTCTGTCAGGGTGATTAAATGGCGATCATCGCCTTGCTTCTCTAGAATCACTATGTTTGGACTTTTAAGTAAAATAATGGGTAATTTTTTATTATGGCTTACCCGAGATAAAATATAAATTGTAATTATAGTGATTTAATAAATAACCCTTTAAATTTCACATAAAAAAATTTCCTAAAATCTTTTCTTTCTAAGCCTTGTAGATTTCAGTCCGCACTTAAGAACGTTAATTTAACATTTCCCTACCAGAAAATTAAAATAAATGAATATACTTCATTAAATATAGTGTTTGAAAAGAATGTCGTTCTTATTTAGTGTACGTCATTCATTTTTTTAAAATAGAATGGGTATATTTAAAGCATTTAGCCAGTGTCAGATTAAGACCTAAATGGGCCCGTGGAGATACCTTGGTATGGGTCCATACAGTACCTTATCATAAAAAAGGTCTAAATCCTCTGTTATATAGCGTTGTCGAATTTTGATTTGATCATTGAAACTTTTAAAAATATGAGACGGGTATAACAACATTCAAAACATTAGTGCCTTGTTTACCTGCTGCAAATTGTTAAAAATTACTCAATATCTCATGAACGATTGAAATCGTAGTGCAATCGCTTTCTACATTTATAATTATTTTCTTTAATTGATAATAAAATAAATCTTTCTTAAAAATAGTTCTTTCATTTATAATTGCGTTAAGTCGACAGATGGTGTAATCCTGTCAAATCAATAAGGTATAATCGATACAAATAGTAGAGATTAAAGAGATAATGATAAGGATAGTAAAAATTTTTCTTGTTTATAGGCCTTATAACAAACTATAATTATGCCACTAAAGGTATTGACTTTTATACTATTTTTTGTAGATATATACATTTTTCTGAATTGAATCTTTTATATAATACGAGCAGTTAATTATATAGATGCATGTAAACTATTCATATATAAAAAAATTTTGAATGAATTTTTTTAATGAATTTGAGCGTGACGTGTTCTTTAGACAAATAAATTGATTTCAGTGTGAACAAGTTTCTTTTTTATACATTAAATGTGAACGTGCTAATTTTTTTAGTGAACGTTCCCAACACGTATTCAAAATAATACATAAAAAAATTTAATGAAGAATTAAAACGTATTCATCATTTAAAAATATTAATTTATTCTTAAAATTCAATAAATATTTATAATAATCAATTTTTTATAAGTTTATTTTTAATGCCTCTTGAAGAATTTTGAATTACATTATTACATGAGTGACACATTAAACGTGATTCGATATTTTGTCTATACATACAATTTTATATGAATCAAACGCGTTAAAATGAGACAGTAGCACAACTAGATATTTTGTGTAGTGAAGGTGTCCAGATAGCTTTTAAAATGTAGAATAGTGGGGATATTCACCCCTCCACTACCCTAAAATTATAACAGTTGTACAACATGGAAAATTTAAGTTGATTGTAACTATTTAATGTCAGCGCAAATTCTTTATCAAATTGAAATATGTATTCCGTGTCCATTTAATTATAAACAAAATATTGTTGTGTTGTGAGAATAATAATTTTCTTTTTGCAAAATAATCATTTTCTTAAAATTAAAAGTCAATAGTGATAAATAAAGAATAAATTTATATGTATTTATAAATTTTAGGAATAAACTAGAATGAAATCCTAATTATTATTTATTTATACATTATTTAATCTGGCTTTAAATATCACTATTTTACTTAAATTTAATTTAAAAATACTGAGCTGTTATTTATAGTAATTAAATAAACCTGTTTTCGAAAATTACAGTGGAGATCCTTGATAAATAGTATTTTGAAGGTTGTTTAGACAATATTTTGAATAGGAAAAAAAATTGAGGACCTCTACAGGTATTAGGCTAAAATAGTATTTATTGTAATGCCGGTGATAACATTTTATTTGCAGTCCCCCCTTATTAAATTTTGGACATCAGTACTAAACCTATAATGCGGTCTCAATTTTATTTTTTATTCTTAAATATCAATAATAATAATAAAGGTATTCAATTCATAAGTCAAACTTTCTAAGAGACTGGTTTCCTATGTTAAGGGTTTAGTGACCCCTTCTTGTAAAAATCACTCTGTATATATCATATATACATATATTATAGATATCATGTCTATAATAATAAGAGTAGTAGTAAAACAAAAACAACAGAAAATTTTAACCAAATAAATCTATTTTTGAAAACAAAGTAGAGAGGCGAATAGGTATTTGTATGGAAAGTAGGTTTTTCGTTAAATACGTGTAATTAGAGTGTGTATTGCAACTTAATTTAATAAATTATGTTAACCAACTCAAAATACTGTTTCCATAATATTGTTATTAAACGACTAAAACAATAGATTTCAACTTTTGCAATAATAAGTATTTTTATTATAAAGTATCAAATACTGAAAATCAAAAGCACATTTTCAAGTGTTGTGAGAATGATATTTTTTTTTGCAATACAATCATTTTCTCTAAATCTTTAATTTTGAGAGTGCTGATACCAACAAAAATTAATTTTAGACAAATATACCTTTGATGAGTTATATATGGTGTTAGTCTATATTAAAATTATATTCATAGCGGTATAAAATATAACTATATTTTTTATTTGCCATGCTTCCTTAACATTGAAAATACAACCTAAGAAAAAAACAAATGTATAATCAATAAACATCTACAATTTTTTGTTTTATACACTCTGTTTTTGTAACTTCTACAAAATAAATTGTTTAATAGACGAATTTTTAATCTTCTAACAAAAATGATAACTTATATGAAAAAAATAACGGTCATTTATTGATAATATATGTAGATTGATCATGCTTGTGAACTTAATTTTTAACGTTTTTCTGTTAAAACTACCACTAAAAAAAATTGGTATTCTATTAGATTATATACATTTTTTTTTAAATTGAACAAAGGCCCTATTGGTTTAGCCATGCTAATATTTAATCAAGAATTGTAGTAATGTATGATAAGCTAGTGATTATTATATTTTAGTTATTATATTAATTGAAAAAAATGTCCACTTTATATTATATTATATTGAGTTAAACCCAACGCCCTGTAGTATTAATTCGTAATGAAATTTGATAATAATTTTTATTTTAATTATTATATGCCTGATTTCAATTATTAAAAGTTGATTCAAAAACAAAAAAACCAGTACGGTGGAGACGCAGCATAGTTGGAATAAGTATAGATGATATCGTTTACGTTAAGGAAAAACACACTAAGTCATCAAATTTTTCTTAAACATTAATCCAAATGAGATTTTAATCGAATTTACTGTAGACAAAAAGCTTTCTTTTGGTATGTTTTTTCAAACAATTCGATGATAAATCTAAACACAAGAATAGTTTAAAAAACGAATGTCATTTTTTTTTAACTCAATTTTTGAAAATATTTCAAAGATCTGACAACTATTAACATACATCAAATTAAAGCTTTTGAAGTGTACTACAACACTTATAAAAAAAAAGTTGTCCCAAGGATTGTTCTAATTTGTGAAATCGGCCGTCAAAGCAAAAAAATGACGTTATTATTAATTAATCAAATAATTAAACAAATATTTAATATTTGAGTGAAATTTTTGAAATTTTAATATTAAAAATATACAAATTATGAAATTTAAAAGATTTTCATTGTAACGTTTTTTATGATAGTGATGTTAATACTATCAGATATCATCCAAATTTTGTACGTCACAACTTTATCGCGCTCCCTCTGTGCCGCGACTCACTGTGCTTGGTTTATAATTTTTGATTTATATTATTATTTATAATTTGTGTCTCAATGTACCTTTATAGTGTTATTGAGTTAAGAGCATAAAAAATGTACTTAATAATAAAATAAATTATGAGTGTAGCATACTTAAATTGCTATTTATGTGTTTTAAATAAAATAAAATAAAATAATAAAGTCTAATATGTTAATAATACTTCAATTGCCAAAAACAAAAATTGAATATTTTTTTAAGTTTCAGTTATTAAACAATCATACTGTCATTAAAAACTATCATTACTAAATTTTTTATAAGATAAATATTCAAATACTCCTCGATAAATACTTCATTAGAATATCATTAAAAACCGTTTGGCTCATTTTGACCGCGTTTCGCCTGTGTCCACTCATATTGTTTTTATTTTAATGTGTGTATTATTTCTAAGCAACTACTAAACATTTACAAACTATTTAGTCAACTAAAAATCTTAATTATGTTCTAAATCTAGTAAAACTATATTACATTATTAACAAAGTAAACAAATTAAATTGCGTTATACTTTATTTGATGACAATATAGTTTATAAGGTAAAACTGTTCATAAAATAACATTATTCTACATAGTCTTATCTCAATTATTGTTACCATTTTTTATTTTGACAATATTTGTATCAATCCTTAGAATAATCATCTTCTTCGTATGTATCTAAAGGTGGAAAACAAACTCCTTGAAAATTCGCAAGCTTACACACAATATCGTAAGCTGTAGTTGATTTAATGTAATCCACAACATATAGTACACTCATGCTTAAGAAAGATGTTATTTTTGTGTAATCGAACATCGTAACCGCCATTTTTAATTTGAAAAAATTTTTATTTTAGTCGTGAAAACTATTTCAAACTAAAGAGGTTCGTTAATGAACGGCAGTACCAATGTGACTGAATAACAAGAATGAGGTGGAAGTGAATAGTAAATAAAACGAGTTTTGCCTACTACTTCCATTCCCTAGTAGAAAACGAGGACAACGTTACATTAATCGTAAGTAATAGCAAAATAACTCATTGTGTGCAATATTAATATTTATTTGTGGTAATGTCTCATTTTACTCATTTTCCAACTCAAAATTATCGTTATTTTTTACTTTGTGTAATGCATTTATTCCATATATGCATGGGAATTAACTTGTGATTTTTCAATTATCAAATTATTAATTATTATTGATAAAATTTTTCCGCTGTTAATTTGATTATTATATCTAATAACTACATTATAGATGGTTAAAAGAATTATTAAATAAAAAACATTAAAAATTATTGTGTACTTTTATCATCTATAATTACCTAAAGATAGTATAATAGTAATATTATATCATTTGTATATTATAATATTATAATTAATAAATATGGTGATCTTTAATTACCTTAATTGTTGGTAGATACTACAATTTTTTACAAACTTATTTTCTACTTGTCTATCTAAAACCGGTTCTCAGGCTAAATAAGCTAAACTTTTGTGAAAATAATCAAATGATTATTAAAAAAAAAAATTACCACATAAGATATCGTGATCAACAAAGTAGAGCTTAGGGATATAACCAGGGATGTTAACCAGGGGAGGTTAAGAGTACTGCAGCCGCTCCCCAAATATTCGTGCAATGACCTAATTTTGATTTTTAAATATTTGAATAAAAATTTTTATATATTATTAAATAATAAAATATTTTCTTCTGTCCTTCCCCTCCTCTAAAAAAATGTTCTGGTTACGCCACAATATAACTATTTTATAATAATTTCTAATTTTTTTAAAAAAAAGTCAAACCCATCATTAATAAATATTTATAAATTCAATTAATATAACTCTATTTAAATTTATAATACTAAACACTTCCTAGTGGTGGTCCATGCACTTCATGTATTTAATTCTTGTATTTCATTGTATCTTTAAACAAATAAATTACTAATTTTTTATATGACAACCTTGTAAGATGCGTATTTAGTAATTATTATAATACACTTGATTATTGTTAAGTATGGAAATTAAACACCAAATAAAATAAAAGTCTTGATAGTGGACAAATTAGTAACAAGGAATTGTTTTGTAACATATTAAGATACTCAACACTATAAAATTATAAAAATCACAATAATAGTGAACTATAAAATTAATATTAATAAAATAAAAAACACAATGTATCATCGAATTCGTATGTAAAACGAAATGTTTCATTTAAAACAAACAACAGTCAATTGCCTTTTAATATGAACTGATTCTTATTTTATAAGATAAAAACCAGATCACTTCATCTAATAATAGTAGCAAAAAAATAAAATCAAAAGGTGACATGTTATTATTGAAATTTAATATTTTATTATGGAGAAAAAATATCAAGTTCAAAAGCTCTACAATAATATGTAGTCAAATCATTATTTTTTTCGTCCCTTCAAGGATAATATCCCTTATTTATAATTTTCTTAAATGGAAACCCTTATTTTTAACTTTATAATATGATAGAAAAAAAAACCCAGCACAGTGGGGTGGCGGCACCGTGGGGTCATGGCATAGTTGGGTCCAGTATAGATGATATCTGACAGTGATTAAAATCACTATCATAGAAAACGCTTCGATGCAAATCTGTAGATAGTGTTAAATTAAAAAAAAAAAATTTGTTAAAATAGCATATTTTTGAATTGTCGTCGGGACAAATTTTTTTTTTCATTTTATAGTACATAAAATAAGCTTTAATTTGATATATGTTTAAAGGACGCAGTATTTCCGGAACATTTTTAAAAATTAAGTTGAAAAAGTTATTTTTTGTAAAAAAGTTACTATTTTAAATCCTCCCCAGTGATCATAATAAGTGTTAGATTTTCAAAAAAAATAATAACAAATGATAGGGAAATATCTAAGGTTTCAATACAAAAAAATATTATTTTTATTTGTTCATTTTTGAAAAAGTTATGGCAGTTTTAAGCACAAAAAACATCCCGATAAAAGGTAATTTTTATCGCAAACATTACATTTTTTTTTAATTTTCGACAGCCATTTGCACATAGAAGATAAGATGTCGGGACAAATTTTTTTTTTTTCATCTGATAATATATAACATAACCTTTAATTTGATATATGTCTTATGAACTTTATTCTAAATAATAATATAAGCTTTAATATAAGCTTTAATTTAAGATTAAATAAAAGTGTCAATATTTCCGGAACATTTTCAAAAATTGAAAAAGCTTAACTTGGAAGCAAAAATTGTTTTTTTTTAATTTCCCCTGCGGGCAGCTTTAGAGTCCGATTTCAAAAAAATTATGTCAAATGAAAGAAAAATATCTAAGGTTTTCATGTAAAAAAATAATTTTATTTTTTCATTTTTCAAAAAGTTATGGCAGTTTTAAGTATTAAAATATTTCATGTTAAACAGTGATGTTACATAAAAATTATAAGTTTCGTTAAAATCGACGGCCATGTTCCTATAGAAAAAAGTGTCCGGACAAATTTTTTTTTTATTCATTGTAAGTTTTAATTTGATATATGTTTAAAAGACGCAATATTTCCGAAACATTTTCAAAATTTAAGTTGAAAAAGATCTATGTTTTTTACAATATTTCAAGTTTTGAACGCCCCCTTTATAAGGGGAAATTGTCCAATTTTAATAAAAAGTATGTCAAATGAAAGATGTACTTATAATGTATTTAGAAAAAAAAAATTTGTGCTGATATATACATTTTTCAAAAAGTTATAGCATTTTTAAGTTGAAAATTTAAAATCGAAAATCGAAAATTTTAACACAAAAATAGTGTTTTTTTAACTACGGCAGCCGTTTAAATGTAGAAAAAAAAGTGTCGGGACAAATTTTTTTTTTTCATTTTGTAGTACATAAAATAAGCTTTAATTTGATATATGTTTAAAGGACGCAGTATTTCCGGAACATTTTCAAAAGTTCAGTTGAAAAAGATCTATGTTTTTTACAATATTTTAAGTTTTGAACGCCCCCTATATAAGGGGAAATTGTCCAATTTTAATAAAAAGTATGTCAAATGAAAGATGTACTTATAATGTATTTAGAAAAAAAAAATTTGTGCTGATATATACATTTATCAAAAAATTATAGCATTTTTTAGTTGAAAATTTAAAATCGAAAATTTGAACACAAAAATAGTGTTTTTGGAACTACGGCAGCTGTTTAAATATAGAAGAAAAAGTGTCGATACAAATTTTTTTTTTTTCATTTTATAGTACATAAAATAAGGATTAATTTGATATATGTTTAAAGGAGGCAGTATTTCCGGAACATTTCCAAAAATTAATTTTTGTAAAAAAGTTGCTATTTTAAATCCCCCCTAATGAGTAGGTTAAGTGATAGATTTTCAAAAAAATGANTATTTTAAATCCCCCCCAATGAGCAGGTTAAGTGATAGATTTTCAAAAAAATGATATCAAATGAAAGGTAAATATCTAAGGTTTTAGTATAAAAAAAAATTATGTTGATTTGTTGATTTTTCAAAAAGTTATGGAAGTTTTAAGAAAAAAAAGTGAAATGTTTAACTCATTTGATCTTTATCTCATTTAGATTCAATAACTTCAATAAATATCAAGGATTCCATTACTGTAGTATTCTCTTGTGAGAAGAAATTCATATTAATATTATTCTACTATGTGGTTTTTTTTTCTGTAGCTATCATTTATTTTCTCAGCTCTCATTTGACCTACTTTTTTGACAAATTTTTAAATTAAAGCTTATGTAATATACTTTAATTTGAAAAAAAAAAAAATTAAAAAATTAAAATTAAACACTATCTAAAGATTTGCATCGAAGCGTTTTTTATGATAGTGATTTTAATCACTGTCAGATATCATCTATACTAGACCCAACTATGCAACGTCTCCACTATGCCGCGACCCCACTGTGCTGGTTTTTTTTTTTATTTGCAGTTGTATAAACCAAATTTTATTGATCAAGTTCTAAAAAATTACCGGTTACACTGCCACCGATATTATGAAGCGTAATAAATGACAATATTTTTTCTGGTAGTCAAAATCTTTAAACAATTATAAAACGTAAACGGTTGTTCGGATAAAAAAAATTATAAGAACAAAATTGTTTGTAATTTTTTTCTGTCATATTATCAAATTAAAAATAGTGGTTCTCAATTAAAAAATTTATAAATAAACATTTTTATCCTTAAAAAAACCTTAAAAAATTAAAATATTTGATTAAATAACATAATAAACTTTTTTATTGTTATACCTGTGAGTCAAACTGTTTTCAAATGTTTATAAAAAACTGATAAAACGAAACTAATACCAAATATTTTTTTCTTTTCAATATCTCATAATGCTTAAAAAACCTGACTTTATTAAAAATTTATACAATGTCAAAGCAAATTTAATGTACTTTAAGATGGTAAATATCCAAAAACTTGATTTCTAGGAAATATTGGGCATTAAAGTCAAAAATCATACAATTTCTGGTAAAAATTGCCGGATTTTGTAGTATTTTGCTTAGCAACTCAATATCTACATTCTCATTCAAAACAAAATTAAATTATAGATTATTTAATGTACTATACAGAATGTAATTTTTCTTGGTTATAATAAATCGATTTACTACTTATTCGAATAATGTTTGGATCAAAATAAAATTTCTAGAGATGTTAAATAAAATAATTTATAACTATCAACATCCTTTTTTGAAAATCATATCATAAATCAAAAAGGCGAAATCATTATACCGTTTTTTTTAAATACGCACCGAAGTGTTTTATTTATGACAGAGAGTTCAATAAGTCATACTAATTAATCATAATAAATCAATACTAATTTAAAAATATCTCAATTAAAAAGTACAACAAAAATATTGTACTTAACTTTTTTTTTTTTTTCATTATTAGCATTATATAAATGGTTAACTATTAGCACCTCGCCAAAAGGGCCTAGTGCTCATACCAGCGTTAAAAATTGACGACTTTTTTTTCTCAATGGTGTGACCAATAAATTTCTTAAAAAAATTCATTGGAAAATACACCCATTTCATTTATTATGTTTAATGGAATTTTAAACAAGTTCCAAACATGTTCTCTATTAAAAATTATACTGTTAATATCAATATTGTAAAGTAATCAATAAGATAAATACTGTGCAAATCTTCAATGGACTCGTGTATTTTTGTATTTTTTTTTCTTTCAAAAATCAACTCCCCCAGTTTATAAGGTACAGGCAACGGCCTTGTATAAGGTCTTCCCTGATCATCATGGTGATACGATCACATTTGCATGTGCCCGTGTCTCTGTCTCCCATAACATCATTGTACCGTTTAATAGACATATATATATATAACACAGTGACATACAACAATACTAACAGGNATATATATATATATATATATATTGTAGTGCGCCTTGGTAGTTCCTCTAAGGGAATATAAATTAAATAGGAAACTTCAGTACCTAAGGTAGATATAGCCTAGCCAGCTATCCCCCGTTGGTCCCTTAGAATACTGTCGACAGGCATTTAGGCTCAACCCCTAAATAGCGACGTAACAATGGTTTGTGACAGTTGTCACAAGTTTTGGTGTACATCAACTATCAACGACTCGGCGAATATCAAATAAACATTTATTTCATTTACAACCTTTATTTCTTTTCTATTTTTTTTTGTAATCTTAAATTACTTTTAACTTACAATATTTAATTTTAGTTTCGATGGGAAGCTGAGAAAGTATTAATTTTACTATGATGTGTTTTTTTTTTTAATTTTTGTTTTTTTGTGTCTGAACGATCATTTTCAGCTCTCGCTGGACCAATTTTTATGAACAATACGTCAATAGATCATATTCTATAAGATATAATTTATCATATAAAATATGTTATAATAATCAGCTCTCATCGAACCGATTGCTTTAAACGATACGTCAAAAAATCACAAATCGTATCTAGTCGAAGACATTACCCTCAAAAATTGAAAAAAATTCCTTAGTTCTCCGTAAACGGGAGAAATCCTACAAAAAATTACAAATTTAAAAATCGCTAATTTTCCACATTTTTTCAATTTTTTTTACTTAAAACTGCTATAATTATTTTAAAAATGACCAAATGAATATAATTTTTTTTTATAGACACCCTAGGCATTTACCTATCTTTGATATATTTTTGTGAACATTTGACCCCTTACCAGCTCACAGAAAAGGGTTTCAAAATGGCAACTTATTCACAAAAAATTAATTTTTTCAACTTCATTTTTAAAAATGTTCCGGAAAGACTGACATTTTTATATATACCTTAAATTAAAGGTAATATACTTTAATATGAAAAAAAAAATTGACCTCTAGACTTGTCTTCATGGTGAAAATGACTTCCGTATGCAAAAATATGCTATTTTTATGAAAAAATTCTTGATATTATATTTTACATTTTTTAACATAATGTTGCTATAACTTTTTAAAAAATGCATGAATCAATTCTATTCTTTAATGATAAATACTTTATATATACCTCTTTCATTCGACATACTTTTTTTTTAAATAGGATTATATCATTTTATACAAGGGGAGTCAAAACTTTAAACATGCGTATTGAAACTAGGATAATTTCAACTTCATTTTTGAAAATGTTCCGGAAAGACTGACACTTTTATATATACTTTAAATTAAAGCTTATGTAATATATTTTATTTAAAAAAAAAAAATTTGACTTCCGGACTTGTCTTCATGGTGAAAACGGACAACCAACGTTAAAGAAAAACGTACGATTTCCGTGAAAAAATTCTCAAATTTTACAGTAAATGATATGAAATGGCGACATAATCCCCCAAAAATAGTGGTTACCTTTACAAAATATTAAACCATTAGAAAAATGTTATCAACCTAAATACTTAGTTATATTATTATAATAATCACATTAATATCGTGTAATGAGTTTGAAGTAGCATGTTTATACAACACATTTTTTCCCAATAAAAATTATAATATTTATCATGTTGTAAATAACAGATGTCAGCAAGGTGTTATTAATATGTCAGTATCGTAATTGAGTTATTTAACTATCATTAAACGACATGAGAAAGAATTTTTTGTTATAATAAACATTTTTAAAACACGTTAAAATTATTAGCAATGTACACAATCAATAATTATTTTTGAATCATTGTATTAATTATGAGGTCATTTTTTTAACGCTAGCCACTCAATTTTTTTTAAAATAATAATTATGTTAAGAAAATTATTTTTTAGTTTCATGTATTTCTCGATTTAACAGTTATATAAACATGTTTAATTTATTCCTTTTATACTATATGCAACATACGTATTTAACAAACTAACATCATTGTAAATTATCTAATTAAGAAAATAACAATTTTTAATAATTTATGTCTATTATTATTCACATACTCTAATATTCAACGCAAGTTTACAGTTTTTTTTAAAAATAATATTTATTATTTGTATACAAATCAATTATATAATATACATTAATATAATACAATACATTTTATTGAGGTATGATATTTCACACGCACTCCCAAAATATATTTAACAGTTGGGTATTTCACAATATAGAAGTCGAATCTAGTATATATATATAAATAAATTCTTACTTTTTGTTGTTTTCTCTTGAAATAATTTTAATGCAATAATTTAAACATGGTTTGTATTTGTTAAAAAAATAATATTTGGCTGTGTACACTAAAAAAATTACGTTGCATTTTTAAAGGTAAATGAAAAATATTTATTTGTTAATAACTTGTTATTTGATATATTTTATATGTATATGTCACTTTAACATATTAAAATTCGTTTCATTCGAAAATACTGCATAAATAGTAGCAAGAATCTATTTTTAAATTCAATAACGAAATAATTTTTAATTAATTTTATGGAATTAAAAAAATTTTTTTACAGTGTCATTTAACATTTTAAATCATACATTATATCTCATAAAAAAAGTCTGTAAATTAATAAATCTATATTATTATTTAGAAATACATAAATCATTTGTTCCAATGATCTTATGTTGTAAAATATTAAATAAATATTCAGTTTTATTCTAGCTTGGTCAATTGCTTTGAAAAGTGTTGCTGTTAGAAAAAAATAAAATATGAATGTGACATTTTATACTTCTCCGGCGTATTCAAATACACTTGGTGAATTTTGGCAAACAAAAGTTGAATTAGTTGGTTATATTATTGTAATATTTTTGGTAATTATTTGGTGTCGCATCAAATGGAATCGTAGGTTTATTGATAGATTTGCGGCTAAGATACCGGGGCCTCCATCATATCCATTAATTGGTTCAGGACTAGAATTTATTGGAAGATCACAAGGTAAGCGTAGTATTAATATATAATTAAATAATAAAATTCTCAATACTTTTATCGAAGCAGTCTGGGATATCCCGGGATAATGAAAAATTAAAGCTATTCCTAACGAGAAGGCAGCGCATATTTTCCTAGTCATTGAAAAAAAGTAACATGTTTTAATTTTTAGTTATTTGTAAAAAAAAGAAGTTTAGAAAATTATTTTTACGACTTGATATATCGTAAAACTTTTTTATATTTTTTAGCTTCGATGCGAAGTTGAGAAGGTATTGATTTTAATATTATGTGTTTTTTTTTTTTGACTGTTACCACTTTTTTTCAGCTTTCACCGAATGGATTTCTTTCAACGATACGTCCAAAGATCACAAATCGTATCTATTCGAAGACATTACCCTCAAAAATTGAAAAAATTCCCCTCGTTCCCCGTAAATAGGGGAAACCTCCAAAAAAATTACAAATTTAAAAATCGCAAATTTTTGAAATGTTTCAATTTTTAGCTTCAATGCGAAGCTGAGAAGGTATTGGTTTTACTAAGATGTGTTTTTTTTTGTGTCTGTTACCACTTTTTCTCAGCTCTTACCGAACGGATTTCTTTCAACGATACATCAAAAGATCACAAATCGTATCTAGTCAAAGACACTACCCTTAAAAATTGAACAAATTTCCCTTGTTCCCCGTAAATGGGGTAAATCTCCAAAAAAATTTAAAAATCGCTAATTTTCGAAATTTTCGAAATTTTTTCAATTTATTTTACTTAAAACTGCCATAACTTTTCAAAAATGAACAAATCAATAGAATTTTTTTTTTTTAGATGTTTGATGTCTTTACCTATCATTTGGTATATTTTTTTTATAATCCTTTACCAAGGGGGGATTCAAAATGACAACTTTTTCACAATAAATTAACTTTTTAAACTTAACTTTTGAAAATGTTCTGGAAAGTCTGACACTTTTTTATATATATTAAATTAAAGCTAATGTAATGTACTTTATTATGCAAAAAAAAATTTCGGACTTTATTTTGTCTTCACGGTGAAAATAGCTACCGAATGCTATTATTGTGTGAAAATTCTCGATTTTATTTTTTACATTTTTAACTTTATAATGATATAACTTAATGAAAAGTGTATGGATCAACATAATTTTTTTATGAGAAATAATATTTTTTAATAATCCCTTTTTCATTCAACATACTTTATCTGAATCAGGATATTAATAACGAACTAGCAGATCATGTTGCTTTTGGTATAATCCACCAATTTTTTTAAATTAAACACTATCTAAAGATTTGCATCGAAGCGTTTTTTTTGATAGTGATTTTAATCACTGTCAGATATCATAATACTTAATCCAACTATGCCACGTTACCACTGTGCCGCGATCCCCCTGTGGTGGGTTTTTTTTACTTAAAACTGCCATAACTTTTTCAAAAGTGAACAAATCGATATAATTTTTTTTTATAGATGCTTGATGTCTTTACCTATTATTTAGTATATATTTTTTTATATATTTAACCCTTTACCTGCCTACAGGGGGGGATTTAAAATGACAACTTTTTAACAAAAAATTTACTTTTTCAACTTAAATTTTGAAAGTGTTCCGGAAGGTCTGACACTTTTATATATATTTTAAATTAAATAATTAAATTGGACTTGTCTTCGTGGTTAAAATAGACATCAAAGTTAATAAAAAATTACGATATTTAAAATAAATAAATAAATAAAAATCATAGTAATCATTTCTAATTAACTTTTGGTATTTAAAAAGGTTCTACAATGGAAATATTCAGAACTTAATCAATTTTAATGATTTACTTTAACTAAAAGAACCAATAAAAAGAAATTGTTAAAAAGATTTACTCAATTGAGCGTATTATAATATTTGATTATAATTGTAAAAAAACCAGCACAGGGGGATCGCGCACAGTGGTGACGTGGCATAGTTGGATCAAGTATAATGATATCTGACAGTGATTAAAATTTACTATAAAAAAAAATGCTTCGATGCAAATCTTTAGATAGTGTTTATTTAAAAAAATTGATGGATTATTACAAAAGCTACATGATTTGCTAGTTCCTTATTAATATCCTGATTCAGATAAAGTATGTTGAATGAAAAAGGGATTATTAAAAAATATTATTTCTCATAAAAAAATTATGTTGATCCATACACTTTTCAATACGTTATAGCATTATAAAGTTAAAAATGTAAAAAATAAAATTGAGAATTTTCACACAAAAATAGCATTTGATATCCATTTTCACCGTGAAAACAAGGCCAGAGGTCAATCAATTTTTTTCGTAATAAAGTATATTACATTAGCTTTAATTTAAAATAGATATAAAAGTGTCAGACTTTCCGGAACATTTTCATGAGTTAAGATAAAAAAGTTAATTTTTTGTGAAAAAGTTGTCATTTTAAATCCCCCCTGTGGGCAGGTAAAGAGTTAAATGTATGAAAATAATATTCCACATAAGTAAAGACATCAAGCATCTATAAAAAAAAATTATATTGATTTGTTCATTTTTAAAAAAGTTATGGCAGTTTTAATTAAAAAAAATTGAAAAAATTAGCGATTTTTAAATTTGTAATTTTTGTAATCATGTATCTTTAGGAATAATCCATCAATTTTTTAAAATAAACACTATCTAAAGATTTGCATCGAAGCGTTTTTTTTTGATAGTGATTTTAATCACTGTCAGATATCATTATACTTGATCCAACTATGCCACGTCACCACTGTGCCGCGACCCCCCTGTGCTGGGTTTTTTTAACACCATTATATTAGTCTCAGCTGTATGTTTGTATGTAATTCTCCAAACGCCACGCGTTATCGTATATTCCTTCGTCTAGACTAGACTGTCATAACTAGTGATGGGCATTTTCGAATATTTTAAACTATCGAATAACTATTCGAATAGTTTTTATACAACTGAATAGTTTATTTTTAGCATAAACTATCGAATAGTTTATTTTTGGCATAAACTATTCGAATAGACTATCGAATAGTTTTAAAAAATATTCGATTAGTTTTACCTAAAATTTGTATTAAGTATACTTAATTATAATAAGAAGATAATTAATGAATACTTATAAATAATTTATTATACAATTAATAATAGTAAACATTAGTGATGGGCATTTTCAAATATTTTAAACTATCGTATAACTATTCAAATTGTGTTTATACAACCGAATAGTTTATTTTTAGCATAAACTATTCGAATATATTGTGTAACTATCGAATATTTTTACTATTCGAATATTTTTTTATAAATTTCCTTAGAATATTCATGGTGACTCATTAAAGATAAAACATTAATTTTCTCAGAAATTATTGAAAATTGTTAATATGTGTAAAAATTGTTTGATCCAATTGATTCAAAAAAAATTGTTTCCACAATAAATACATATATATACATATATATGCATAAAATGATTATATTGCTTATAATTAATATTTAAAATATAGACAAATGTATATAGTCTGAATACACGGAAAATTGATTTTTAGATATTATGGAAAAATTTATTAAGTTAAATGAACAGTACGGCCCGGAACCATTTAAAATCTGGTTAGGTTCTTCACTTGTTTTAAATGTTACAAAGCCAGAATATATACAAGTACGTTAAAATGTTTTCAATATTTTGTAATATTATTATGAATTAAATCCAATGTTCATTGAAAATTAATATTTAGAAAAACGTTTTTGCTTGAGAACTTTTTACAGTAGAATTAATGACACTTGTCATAATTATTCTAAGTTATAAGTATAATGTACAGACCGTGACCTATTACAGTGTAACAGGTGAATGTAATATGTGTAACAGTTACACATATTACACTTAATTATTCACCAAATAAAAATAATTTCGATAGCATTGTTCAGAGGATTATTTAGTTAGATATATTTCTTATATATCTATCTTATATACTTTATAAGGGTGTCAACTTTGATTTTTAAATAGCAGCATACATATTTAATTAGCTTATATCATAGAAAATGTTCTAATTAAGAAAATGACTGATTAATAATACCATTTATACTATTACTTTGAAAATTATTAACATTTTTACGCGACAGGTGGAAGAATATGACTGAGAAATGTTTAATATTTTAAATAGAAATATCCACGGCAAAAATCTAAACAATATTTTTAAATGGTATAAATAGATTACTCTGTATATTTTTTATTTTAAAAGATTTAGCTAACATTATTCGTATGGAGTATGGGAATCATTTTCTATAAGTCAATAATATATAATTTTTAGTAGACTTAAGAATTGATATATTTTTTAATAAAATAAAAATTAATTTTCTTAAAAATAAAGAAATGATATTGAATTTTTTTCAGATTATACTAAATAATTCTAATATTTTGGATAGAGGTAAATTATCCGATTTTTTGAGTTGTGTTCTTGGAGAAGGACTGCTTACTGCTTCTGGTAAAAAAAAAAAATTTATATTGTAATTAAAGGACAATGAAATTAAAAATTAATAATATTTTGTATATAATGTATTTCATACATTATATAATTGTGTTTTTCATAAAAATATTTATAAATTGTATCTCTAATATGAAAAGTTACAATTTTTTTTTAATTAAACAATATAGTCAGTGTACATTAATAAAATTTAACAGATAATACAGAATTTTTTTTATTCAATCGTCTAAGGACAAATTATATAATCTTTTTCTAAAGGCTACGCCTTGTCATAGCTTTTATATCCTGGGGAAATTAAGTGCAGTGGTTTCCCGTTGCTTTCTGCACTAGGAACATGGTGCTTTTTCGCCACCGTAGAAGCGCATGCATGTCACCCATCCGTTCACCTACGGCGCTAAACGCGGCTTAACACTAGAGTTTTGTCAAAAACTAGTGTGACAACCGCGCTACACCACGCCCCTTCAAATTATATAGAGAAGTATTTTACTAGAAAAATTAAAAAGTTTATTTAAATATTGGTACTGTTTTTAAATGATCTATTCATTTTAATCATTGCTTTCAGTTCCTACATGGAAAATGCATCGACGAATTATCTCTCCTTTTTTTAACAGTTCTCACATTAATATACTTATGCCAATTTTCAATGAAAAATGTACAAAATTCATACGGAATCTTAAAAAAGAACTAAGAAATCCTGAGTCATTTAATATTTGGGATTATGTTGTTTCTCTTTCTTTTGATACAATATGTGGTAAGTGACATTCTTAAAAGTAATATATGTTTGAGTTACTCATTTTATTATTAAATTCTATAATAAGTTTATTTTTTAAGTATACATAATTATTTTTGATAGTGTATATTATTGTTTTTGATACTTATAAAATGATTAATTGTTATTCCAAAACATATTGCGTTAAAAAATGTTTTTAAACATAATAGGCAAATGCAATGAAGTTTATTATTGTAACTTTCGAAAGGAAATAAAGAAATCATCTTGTTTGAACTGAAGTTTAGAGCAGAGATTGGAACAGAACTCAAAAAAACAATTCTTTAACCGGAATATTTTTAATATTTAGAGCCTGAAACAAAGTTTTCTTGACAAATATCTTAAATATATCTCTTTCATTAGGTGTATTATTATTGAAATAATAATCCTTTACGTGTCTACAGGAGGGGTAAAAAATAGTTAATTTTGAACAAAAGTTCACTCTATCAACTTATATTATAAAAATGTTACAGAAATTCGAATATCCTTAATTTTATTTTCAAAATTTTTTATTTAACTTTTTAGCTTTGATGCGAAGTTGAAACGTTAATTTTACTATGATGATTTCTTTTTGTGTATGTATTCACCTTCTATCAGCTCTCACCGGACTGATTTTTTTCTACTATACATCAAAAGATTTAAAAGACTTAAAAGAAGCAAAAAAATTTAATTAAGTTTAACTTTATAGTCTATGTCAATTAGATTTATATAATATTCATGAAAATCAGTGTACACTCCTTATAAGGTATTTTAAAATAAAATAAAATACAATATCAAGAATTTTAACATAAAACATTTTCACAATGAAGACGATCTATAACTCGACATTTTTTTTTTCATAGTAAAGTTTATTACATAAGCTTTAATTTAAGATATGTTTATAAGTGTAATTTTTCTGAAACATTTTCAAAAATTAAGTTAAAAAGTTTAATTTGTGTACAAAAATTACTACTTTGAATCCTAACCCCCTGTGGGCGGTCAAGTATCAGATTTTCAAAAAATTTATATCAAATAAAAGGTAAATATCTAAGATTTCAATATAAAAACAAATTACTTTTATTTGATCATTTTTCAAAAAGCTATGACATACTTATTTTTTTAATTGAGCTATTTTCCTTTATACTCGAGGGGAGTTAAAAAGTTTAAAAATACAAGTGAAAACTAGAATTTTTTCACCTTAACATTTGAAATGTTCCGAACATATTCTAAGCTTTAAATGTATGTCAAATTAAAGATTATGTTAAATAATATAAATTCCAAAAAAAGAAAAAATTGTCCCGATATCTTTTCTTTTATGAATAAATGGCCGCCGGAATTGAACGAAAAATGTATTCTTTATGTAAAAATGTTAATATTTTGATATTTAAAATGTTTTTTTTTTTTGTGTCTGTTGCCACTTCTTCTCAGCTCTCACTGTGCCGATATTTCTCAACGATATGTCAAAAGATCAAAAATCGTATATAGTTGAAGACATTACCCTTAAAAAATTTTTTTCTAAAAATTGTCATAACTTTTCAAAAAATGAACAAAGAAGAATAATTTTTTTATTGAAACCTTAAGTATTTCCTTTTCATTTGATATAAATTTGACTATTTACCTACCCTTCAAGAGAGATTCATTATAGAACATTCTGCACAAAAATTTTTCAACTTAAGTTTTGAAAATGTTCCGGAAATACTCCAAGCTTCAAACGTATGATGTAGTAAAGCTTATGTTATGTACTAGACGTTCAAAAAAAATTTTTTTTTCCGAATATTTAGATATTTTCCTAATATATTAAATTAAAGCTTACATTATGTACTAGAAAAAAACACTTTGCTCCGGCAATCTATCTTCTATGTACAAATAGTTGCCGTAGTTAAAAAACATGCTATTTTTGTGTTCACATCGTATTTCTTATTTGCTTATTTTAAAATGCCTTACGAGGCTTTACCATAGTAATGAGTCCACCAATTTTTATAAGAGTACATGAATCTAATTTACATTAAATATAAATTTAAACTAATTTTGATTATTTTGCCTTCTCAAATTAAGAAAAACGACTAAATTTTTAAACTAGCTTAAATTATCCTTTTTAGTTAAAAATTTGTATAATGCTAGCTGGCAATTTTTTTTTAAAATCTTGTACGTTTTCCAAATTTATGAAAAAAGGGCAAGGGTTTCTTCAATTACAATCTTAAATAGTTATTACTTTTAAAATAATGTACAACTAAGCGATTTTAGCTTCGATGCGAAGCTGAGAAGGTATTAATTTTACTATGATGTGTTTATTTTTGTGTCTGTTGCCACTTTTTCTCAGCTCTCTTGATAAACAATATGTTAAAAGATCACAAATCGTATCTAGTTGAAGACATTACCCTTAAAAATTGAAAAAAATTCCCTCGTTCCCCGTAAATGAGGAAAATTTCCAAAAAACATACAATTTTTCAAATTAATAAATTTCGTCATTTTTTTTTTACTTTTTTTCTTAAAACTACCATAATTTATTTAAAAATTAACAAAACAACTTATTTTTTTTATTGAAACCTTATATATTTTCCTTTCATTTTATATTATTATTTTGAAAATCTAACACTTAATCTGCTCACAGAGGGGGGGGGGATTTAAAATAGTAACTTTTTTAAAAAAACTAACTTTTTCAACTTAACTTTTGAAAATGTTTCGGAAATATTGCGTCTTTTAAACATATATCAAATTAAAACTTACAATAAATATTATAAGTACAAAAAAAAAAAATTTGTCCGGACACTTTTTTCTATAGGAACAGGGCCGTTGAATTTAACGAAACTTATAATTTTTATGTAACATCACTGTTTAACATGAAATATTTTAATACTTAAAACTGCCATAACTTTTTGAAAAATGAAAAAATAAAATTATTTTTTTACATTAAAACCTTAGATATTTTTCTTTCATTTGACATAATTTTTTTGAAATCGGACTCTAAACCTGCCCGCAGGGGAAATTAAAAAAAAACAATTTTTGCTTCCAAGTTAAGCTTTTTCAATTTTTGAAAATGTTCTGGAAATATTGACACTTTTATTTAATCTTAAATTAAAGCTTATATTATTATTTAGAATAAAGTTCATAAGACATAAGAAGTTTAACTTATTTAAATTTTTTTGCTTTTTTAAAGTCGAAAAGTAACTTAAAAATTTGAATTAACTTAAATTGCGCCCACTGTATTAATAGGCGAAAGCGAGAACGGTTGCCGAATCGGTAACACTTGTGTTTTTCACGGTTATGGTACCGGTTTGAATCCGCCTGTGTCAATTAATATTTTGCATTTTAAGTTAGAAAAATTTTCAAATTATTTGATTTTTATGTCATTTTATTAATTTCAATAAATATCTAGGATACCATCACTGTAGTCTCCCCTCATGAGAAGAAATTTCTTATTCATGTTAATATTATTTTACTATGTGTTTTTTTTTTTTGTGGCTGCGATTTATTTTTCCAACCCTCAATTAACCTATTTTTTTTAACGATATGTCAAATGATTACAATTCGTATTTAGTTGAAGATATTACCCTAAAAAATTGAAAAAAAATACCTTAATCAAATAAAAAGTACCTTAAACAGTTGACACGGCCACGGCGTTGTCACCCGTTTGACACCCCGCGGTCGTGTCAGCTCCTTCTCAGCCATCGCTTCACTGTAAACCGGACCGTTACACACACGCGTTATCGTCGTGGTGTAAAGTCCAACAAATACCTAGCGTCGAATACCCCGTCGCAATAATACGTCCAGTCAGTCGTCTTCGTGACACGTGTGTCGTCGGTTTCGCTGTCCACCTTACCGAACGCCGCCGCACTGTCGAACATTTCGGATATCTGTCACCGATTCATTTTTCAAAATTATTATTTTTGGTTCGCCTATTACTCTTGTATTACTGTTTTCTTTTTAATTAAACGGCTCGACGCCACCTGGAAAACCAACCTTGTGTCGTCTGACTTATTTGAAGTCAACTTCCAACACAGTTTCATTCATACAAACAATTTAAATGATTCATTTCTAATATTTTTAATAAATTTTTATGTCGAATTAGATTTGAAATGATAAAAGTATTCAACTGCAAAAGTAAATAATTTTACTTTATAATTTATTAATTTTTTTACGCTATTTGTGTGTGTTAATAACAGTCTATAATATTCCAAATTTTTTGTGAACATGTTGCTATATAAAACACAAATCTAAAAAAAAAATGATTTTTAGTTTTACCTAAATTTAACAATCGATTTTTACAATTATAATCAAATTTTATAATACGCTCAATTGAGTAGATCTTTTTAACAACTTTTTTTTTCTTGGTTTTTAGTTAAATTATAAACCAATAAAACTAATTCAGTTCTGTATATTTCAATTGTAGAATCTTTTTAAACACTAAAAGTTAATTATAAATGATTTTAATTTAAGTGATCTATTACGATAAAGATGCAAAAAAAAAATAGAGCTTTTCTGATTAATTTACTGTAAATAGTTATTATAAAATTTGCTGACTGCATATTAATCTTAACAATTTCATTTTTTTTTTTTATTATAAACTTTCACTATAAGGACGAAAAAAAAATAGGTTAGAAATAATAATTTGAAAAGAATTAATTATATTGATTATATAATATAAAATTAAAAATATTTTACTTTTGTAATTATCCACCAATTTCTTAGAATTAAACACTATTTACAGATTCGCATCGAAGCATTAAATCGAAGTCAGATTAAATCTATACTGAACCCAACTATGCCACGTCCTCGCTTTGCTGGGTTTTTTATTTGTTGAACTGTTAATGGAGCAACAAAATAGACTCCTGTAACCAATAATAATAATAATTTAAATAAACGTATTTGTTTTCTTATGTAATAGATGTTAAAATTAAGTAAAATTTAAACAAAATTACAAAACAGTCAAATTTAATCCCTTAAAAAAAATTTCAAATAGTTTTATTTTTTTAATCTCATTTGCTTAATCTCATTCGATTACGCACCCCTATCGTGCTTCTTGTTGCTACAAAGAAAAAATATATTAAAAATGCTTTTTTAAAATAATTAGACAATATTTTAATTATATTTGTATACAAATATTTAAGTAATATTTTAAATACTTTCATGAAGTGTTGATTTATACATATATTATTTGCAGAAACAGCACTGGGATATCGTCGTGGTACGCAAGACAACGACAAATCTGAATATTTGGATTCAATGACAAAGTAAAATATTAATTGAATTCTAAACATTATGTTATTATTATACTTGTAGTAGCTTAAAAGATAACAAAACTGTAGACAAGTTTTTTGGATAAATCTGAATGTTTGACTTTTTAAATAATTTAGCAACTTCTTAATTATCTGAAAAAATCACAGTTCATTTTTACTACAAATGAAAGTCAATGTCATCCCGATGTTTGTAGAATTTGAAAGAATTCATTCCTCCGATGTTAGAAGTTGAAATATTTATACCTTAGCTAGACAAATGTTATAATTTTAAGTAATCGCTTCAGAAAGTTAAAAATTGTCTTCTATAATTTTAATTCAGTTGATAAAATAAATTTTATATTCAACTATTAATCAATGAAAAATTTTTAAGAATTACAGAGCAAGTTAATGCAAGATTTACTAAGCCATGGCTTTATCCAGATATTATTTTTAATATTTATGGGAAAATTACAGGCTTGAATCAAATGTATGAAAATTTAATTAAATTTACCGACAAAGTGAGTGTTATAATATTTATATTAAAAAAAATGAACCCAGCTTATATACTACCTATACTGATCACCCCCCGATAAATAAAGTCTGTATTAGTAATACCAGTGCAATTTTACTTTTTAGTAATCATTATAAATAGGTAGTATTTCTTTTTATAAAAACATATAAAGGATTCCATTGTAAAATAATAAAATTTGAAGACAAATTTTGCTTTGTCAGTTATGTTTTTCCGGCTTCCCAGTGTTAAAAATAATCAAAAATTTTAACCGTCTGACCGATCGACGTTACTCCCTGTGCGGCTGTCGTACCGCGAACGCCATAGAGCGCTAACTGGTATCATTCTGTTTGGCGCAACATTCCGTGGAGCACACGAAAAATTTGGTTTTTTATATACATGGATATTGTATACTATATCATTGATTATAGTTGTCTTGGCTTCGCTACAGTGCGACGAGGGCAAGCACAATGCCATGAATTCCCGTCGCACATTTTTGACCTGCTCGTGTTAATAGTTTTGACGAGTTTGATTGTAATCTACGTGTCTATTAAATATTAATAGGCAACAGCTTTAATTAAGTTCCACCCGAAAGTAATAGCGTCTAGGTATCTCTTGTTGAAAATATGATACGATATTATTATAGTTCTGTTAGGTAAGTTTATCAGGTCATTAGATTGGTATAATATCTACACTTTCATATTGTTTAGCTTGATGAGAAACTGAGAGGGTATTAAATTTACTATAATGTGTTTTATTTTATTTTGTTCTTTTTTTGTGTCTGTTACCACTTATTCTCAGCTCTCACTGGATCGATTTTGATGAACAATACGCCAAAAGTTAACAAATTGTATTTATTCGAAGACATTACCCTCAAAAATTGAAAAAATTTCCCTCGTTCTTTTGATCATCTTGACATCTTTAAATAGGAGTTAATTTTGCTTTCGGAATAATCCATCAACTTCTTATAATTAAACACTACTACGGATTTGCATCGAAGCGTTTCTTATGATAGTTATTTTATTCACAGTCATATATCATCTATACTTATCCCAACTATGCCACATTCATACTGTGCCGCCACCGAATAAAAAAACAATAAACGTATTGATAATTCTTTATAACTTATAAGGTACAAAAAATTTGGGGTACATATAACTACAGGTAAGTCAATGTGTTTATAAAAATAAAAACTATGTGAGGCAAATTCTCATATGCGAGAAATGACAGGTTAATTGTCAAAAACTTTTATCGCAAAATGTCATACGAAAAAAATCAGTAAGGTTTGAGTACGACAAAACGTAAAACATAATGTTTGAATTATTTAAAAGTTATAACGCAATAATATTGTTAACTTTTAACTGTCATATCGTAAAATGAAAATAAATCATTTTGAATCAAGCCCTGATTATTATTAATATAATATCCTGTATAAAACACATAAAAATAAATATATATTTTACTAATAACATAATTCTTATTAGATAATTAAAGAAAAAAAAACCCAATATGCTCAAAAGAAGAAACCCGACCACAGTTCTTTAAACTTGACCAGAAATGGAAGTAATAATTTAATTAATTCATATTGTATTTATTTATTAAACAAATATTAATTACTGTTGTAGAAAAACAAAGAAAAGTATTTTTAGATGCATTGTTGGAGTTAAATGATGAAGGAGCAAATTTTTCAAAAAAATATTTAAGAGATGAAGTTTTAACTATTATGTCTACAGTAAAATAATTTAATTAAAATCTTAATTTTAATTAATTAATATTTAAAATACCCAATTCATGTAACAATTCTATTTTTTGGATAGGGCAGTGAGTCTATTTCCTTAACCACATGTTTCTGTATTTTAATGTTAGCTATCCATCAAGACATACAGGTGATACACAGTTACAAGTGTACAATAGTACAATTATCATTAATATTTTATCACACTTCAAATGTAATTTCGAATTAACAGGAAAAAGTTTATGATGAAATCTACCGAATAATGGGAGGAGGTGATCGAATAGTAACAATTGAAGATACGGTTAAGTTTGTATATCTGGAACAATGTATCAAGGAAACTCTTCGATTGTACCCCGTTGGACCAGTAATACTAAGACATCTTCATGATGATATCAAATTAAGTAATTTCTCTGAGTGTATAATTAATGACCACATGCATAAAGTCGTGTTTTGATTTTTTAGGTAACTACACAATTCCAAAAGACACTACTATTTTTATACCAATATTAGTCACTCATCGTTTAGCAGAATTGTATCCAAACCCCTTGGAATACAACCCAGATAATTTTGATCCAGAAAAAGTTGTTAATAGACACAAGTATAGTTTTATTCCATTTAGTGATGGACCTAGGAACTGTATAGGTAAAATATGAGATATTGTTATCATCATAAAATAAATATAACCATTTCGACATTTCTAATAATTTAGGACAAAAGTATGTAATGCTATTGATGAAAGTTTTGCTATCAACATTTTTGCGTAACTATAGTGTACATACTAAATGCAAAATGTCTGATATAAAGTTGAAACTCGAATTAGCAATAAAAAACGTTCATGGATATCAAGTAACAATACGCCCAAGAGACAGAACACCAACTTAAAACGTAAAATTAAATTTAAAAAAAACATTTTAATTTTTCTAATTATTACCAAGTTATAAAGATAAAAATTTTAGTATGAGTAATTATTTAATTATTTATTTTTTAGTAATCATTTAATTAGTAGTTATTTAAACATAGAGAATTGTGGTATGTATCGCAAGTGGAGTATGTGTATTAAATATACACCAATACGAGCTGTGCCCACCTACACACTGGCATAATTATGAGAGGATATGGATGTTTAACCCCCTTTATGAGAAAAGTATTTTTATTACGAAGATAATGTTTTTTTTTTTTAGAAGAGAAGTTAAAAATTTTCTTATGTATACTCCCTTTATGACAAAACCTTAATTACACCTCTGCATCTACTCTATGTACCTACTCTAAGTATTAAAATGATTGTAACTCAATAATTACTCGTCCTAAAACTGTTATCTACCCTTAATTCATTTTTGTGACAAAAGTACTAAAAATTGGTTACTTTGAAATATAATAAAGACATAATGTTTTTCTTTTTATTTAAAATAAATAATAATACAATAATTGTTAAAAATAAAATTGCGAAATGATTATTGACTTAAAAGCTATAAGAGTTTTCAGTTAGATCTTTTATACCTTGTATATTGATGAAGTTTAAGATTAAAACTTTTTAATTACAATAATTTTTTTTTTAAAAATGAACAGCGAAATATGACCTTTCTATTGATCTACTTTTTTTAAAAATTTAAAAAGCAAGGACAAGGGAATATATAGTCAGGGATTGATATCGTTATTTTTAAAATTGCAGTTTAATCAGCAAAAATAATAATTTGAAATACCTATTATACATCTTTTCATTTAGCAGTTATTTCAGAAGCTTTTAAAAAATATATTAATATATATATATATATATATATATAAATGCATCAAATTATTTTAAAATTAAATTATATCTTTCAGATCTACTTTATTTTTTTGCTTTATAACAAAATGAAAATGTGGTGCTAAAGCTCAAGTCTCCACATTAATTTATGTAAATTAAAATTTTTTAATACAATAAATTTTTGTAACAGTTTAGATAAAATGTTACATCTATTATGCTAATATGTATTAACTAAGATTTGTAATCTTTTCATGTATCGTCAAAAGATAATAAATAATAAATATTACACCAACAGTCAATTAATCTGGATAAACTAATTTCTAATTTATTATTTTTTATGAACATTTATATGAATTTAAGTATAAAAATCCAAGATCAATTAACCTTTTTTTTATTTTGCTTTAAAATAATTGTCAAGAATTATTTTTTCTGAAAGTTTTAAAATAGGTAAAAGAATATACTAAAAGTTCATAGCCATTTGATTGATTTAAAGGACGGTGTGGCCGAATAGGTAACACAGCAAAGTTTGATGTGCACTGTCTAGGTTTTGAAACTTGGTCACGTGAGACTTCATTTGCCGAGTGAGACATAATTTCGGTAATTGTAGTCGTCATCTTTCTCTCCGTCGACGATCTAACGCGTCCCAGAATATCAATGATTAAGAAACCTCCTCCTTTGGGGGATGCCGTTATAACGCGTTACGGGCTTATAAAACGTTAAAATAAAAGTTATTTGATTTGTTTAGTACAGTTCAATATTCGTGATATCTTCTACTTATTCATCAAAATTAATTTTCAAGTCAAACTCTTTCACTGATCTCCTTTGAAATTATTTTGATTAAGATTTCTCATATTTTCTATTCATTAAACTACATTAGTATGTAATGAAGCTTTCGTAATCTGGGTACTTCGGTGCTCGTGTCTTTTGGGTCTTACCTAAGTATATTACAATTGGGTATTCGTTTTATTTTGGGTACATAACAAGTACCCAAAATAAAACGAATTTTTAGTACTTGACAATAATATCTTTAACTAGATACGAGTTGTAATAATTTGACATATTGTTTATAAATTGGTCAAGTGAGAGCTGAAAAAAATAAATGACTAACACAAAAGAAAAATCACATAATAAAACCCAAGACAGTGGGATCGCGGCTCAGTGGGGACGTTGCATAGTTGGGTCCAGTATAGATTTAATCTGACAGTGATTAAAATCACTATCATAAGAAACGCTTCGATGCTAATCTGTAGATAGTGTTTAATTTAAAAAAAATGATGGATAATTACAAAAGCAACATCAACTTCTATTTCCTTAATTATACCCAGATTAGTAATTCTTTTAATTACATATTAAATCATTTTTAAAATTAATTGTTTTAAAATTATTATTGATTTTGATGTTTAATATGTTAAAAGTAATTATTTTGAACCTACTTTTTTTTGTCTTTTAAAGTGAAAATTTTAATAAAAAAAAAATGAATTTATTACCATACAATGCTCCAGCAATATATCAGGCCGCTATGTGCAAAATTATGGGAGGTCTTACTTATACAACAATATTTGCTACTTAGATGATTGCACAGTTTTTGGAAAATCTTTCGATCAATATTTATATTCATTAGACATAACATTACAGAGATTTAGACATTTTAATCTAAAATTGAAGCCATCAAAATGATAATTCGGATACGAGGAAATACAAGTAATACAAGTACTTATATTCGATTAAACAACTTCGTAGTTTTTTAGGACTCGCCAATTATTTCAGAAAATGTATTCCCAACTTTAGTAAACTGGCGAAACCTTTTACAGATTTGACTAAGGGTAAATTTAAAACAAAAAGTGAAAAAATTAAATGGTTAGCTGAACATGGAACAGCATTTAAAGAGATTAAGTCTAAACTTACGACACCTCCATTCCTCGCGCATTATAACGTAACTTTGAGACTATACTAGTCACAGATGCTAATAAATTATGTCTAGGTGTTATACTTTAACAACATGACGATAATAATGAAATTCATCCAATTTCTTACGCGTCTAAAAAGTTAACGCCCGCCGAGTCCAATTATTCCGCAATTGAACTTGAGGTTTTAGCTATTCATTTCGCGTTTACCCATTATAGGCAATATGTCCATGGGAGAAAAATTGAGGTTTGGACTGATCATAAAAATTTAACAAGTTTTATGAATATAAAAACTGAATCTAACGTTGTAAACAGGTTACGAACGATATTAATGGGCTATGATTTTGAGGTAAAATACAAAAAAGGTATTTTTAATAGGGCCGCGGATCATCTATCGCGTTATCCTAGTTCTAATGAACTAATTAATAATTTAAATACGAATATTAAAAATGACACTTTTAAAATAAATCTTGTTCAACCTATTAATATTGCTGTAGAACAAGCAAACGATGCGTACTTACATAACATTATAGGAGCTATTAAAAACCCTATCTCATCAAATTCGTTTTATTTAAATAAGGCCGACAATTACGAAATAAAAAATAATGATATATTATAATAGAAAACCAAAATTAGACAAATCCCTGTATACGCACTAGCTTTACCTTCAAAATTTATTAAACAGGTAATAATTGATAATCATTATAGTTTATTAAACGAGCATATTAGTTTTTCAAAAACATTAAACAAAATTAGGAGTAAATATTATTGGCCAAAAATGAGAAAAGATATAAAAGCATACGTTATGTCCTGTGAAACGTGTCAAAAGAGGAAACCATATAAACAAAGTAAGCCACCGAAAGTAGGGAGATACGGTTTAGACAAGTGTGAGATTATGAGTGAAATAATTATTGACTATGTTGGTCTCCTTCCAAAGTCGAGATCTTTGAAGTATATTTTAGTAGCTACTGGTCGTTTATCAAAATTTTGCGTAGCTCAACCATTTATAAAGGGCAATGCGCGTAGTACCAACAAATTTCTTTTAGACTTATTTTTAAGATTTGGTCCAGCTAGGATAATTAGGTCGGATAATGGAACTCATTTTACGTCGAAAACAGTTTTAGATCTAATGGACGCATTTGGGGTAGACGAAAAATTCGGAATTCCATACAAGCCTACTTCACAAGGTCAGGTGGAGAGGCAAAATCAAACGGTAATAGACATGATTTCGCACTACGTTCAGGATAACAATAAGTGGGCAAATTATTTACCGTACGTTGTATACGCTTATAATACTTCAATAAATTCGGTTACAAATTATACGACGTTTTATTTAATTCACGCCTATAATCTTAAAAGCATGTTTGATATTGCACTAATTACCCTTTTCGATGGGAACGTGATCGATGAAATTAATAAAATCAAGCATATTAGAAAAACATTACCCCAATTATTAGAGAAACAATCCGAACAGACTAAACAAAAACTTTTATCATCGAATAATTTTCAATTGTTTAAAGCGGGAGACACAGTCTTAGTCAAAGTTCCAGTAAATGGTAATACATTTTCAGATAGTTATGAAGGCCCTTATGTTATTTTAAAGAAAATAGGTCCATATAGTTTTTTAATAAATCTGCCAAAAAACAATATTTTGGTCGAGTCGCCTGTTCACGTAGACCAGTTAAAACAGTTTATTTCTAGAATATAAAATCCCGTCAAATCTCGGGCCGGGGATAGCACTAAAATAATAAAATATGTATAGCAATGAGATGACGATATAATTACAACTTAACAATTTTCAGAAAATATAAGAATTATAAGGTGTATAATAATCATTGTCATAGGCAAGGTCAGCGTGAGAACGAACCTGAAAAATCGGTCTTATTGCGACAACGGTGCTCTTCGCTTCTTTAGACCCAACGAATATCAATATATTGTGCTGTTTCAACTCTTAAAAATTCTTAAAAATTTGATTATTATTTAATTTTGTTTTAAAATGTTCGAATTTACTTAATCCAAGATGGTTTAAGGGTAAAATGCTATATTAAAGTACACTATTTATATTAAATACGTTTACTTACCACTTGATAATTATTATGACTCTAGAAAAAATTTTTTGTTATTGTTATTGACAATAATACTTTACCCCAGTGGCGACTGTAAAGAATATTCAATAAATCTGATTAATTCTCTAGGTTACATTTAAAAAATCTAGACACTCTTCAATTTTAAAATTACCCCCTGTCGGATACAAGAATTTGTATGAACAATCGTGTTATTGGTTACAATTATATAACTTTTTCTATGAAAATTATATACGCTTGAATGATAGCCAGTAATTGAATTTAAAAATTCGATAGATAGAAGATAACAGATCTTTTTAATATTTTTACACTTAATATTGTAATGTATAATAATAAAATATATTTTATAAATTTTCTATTTTTCCGTTATGAAGTAGTTTACGTTATTTGTAGTTAAATCAGGTATAATATTATTGTTGAAAATGTGGACTGTATTTTATTATAACCAGAAGAAGGCTACTTGGGTCGACTAAACTATAACTTAATAGAACGAATTTTCACTTTATAGAGTAGAACAGATCTAGCTGACAACTTAAATAACTTATTATCTGCATAACAATTTATAATTTTTTTTTTAATCAATTTTTACAATATAGAACTATATTTAGAATATGTTTTATATTATAGGATATTCCTCGTTAGGAAATTTGACAATAAATGCACTTATTCACTATTATTCACGTTTAAATTTATGATATATGAACTTATTTAATTTAAAAGTCAACATGTTTTAGACAATGTTTTTATAATTTTAGCTTCGATGCGTAGCTGAGAAGGTATTAATTTTACTATAATATGTTTTTTTTGTGTCTGTTGCCACTTTTTTTTCAGCTCTCACCGAACCGATTTCTTTCAACGATACGTCAAAAGATCACAAATCGTATCTAGTCGAAGACATTACCCTCAAAAATTGAAAAAATTTCCTTCGTTCCATGGAAATAGGGGAAATCTTCAAAAAAATTACAAATTTTAAAAATCGCTAATTTTCGAAATTTTTTCAATTTTTTTTTTCCATAACTTTTTCAAAAATGACCTAATCAATATAATTTATTTTTTATAGATGCATGATATCTTTACCTATCATATGATATATTTTTTTTATTAATCTGATCCTTTACCTGCCCACAGAGGGGGATTCAAATTTTATATATTTTTTTAATATTAGTATTTTTATAAAAAAAATTGTTTTTATATTTTTAACTTTATAATGCTATAACTTTTTGAAAAATGTATGGATCATTATAAATTGTTTAAGACAAGTACAATTTATGTTCTTCTTTTATGCAACATACTTTTTTTTTTAATTGGATCATTACCTTTTATACAGGAGGTTCATAACTTAAAAATGCATATATTTCACATATATATACATATATTTAAATGTTATAATTTATTATAACAATTTTATAGCTCCAATGTATAATAATTATTTAAAAAAAAACCCAGCACAGTGGGGTCGTGGCATAGTTGGGTCCAGTATAGATGATATCTGACAGTGATTAAAATCACTATCATAAAAAACGCTTCGATGCAAATCTGTAGATAGTGATTAATTTAAAAAAAAAAATTTGTCAAAAAAGTAGGTCAATTGAGAGCTGAGAAAATAAATGATAGCTCCAAAAAAAAACCACATAGTAAAATAATATTAATATGAATTTCTTCTCGTGAGAGGACACTACAGTAATGGGATCCTTGATATTTATTGAATCTAAATAAGATAAATATCAAATGAGTTAAACATTTTTTTCTAACTCAAAAAGAATTAAGAAAAAATTCAGTGCCACAGGCATGAAAGACCCAAGTGTTACCGTCTCAGAAACCGTACGTCGCATTTGTCTGTCGTAATATAATCGTCTGTTGTAATAGGCCCTTCACACAACCGAACAAAATGTTTTTTTGTTATTCTTTCATCTTCTACCCACACACCAATAAATTACAAAACACAATCAACACTTTCTATCACTGACTGCAGATACACACACAACTCACACAATCACGCCATGCACACACATCCGTTCCTTCCCAACATGTACAACCCCGTAGTTTTACAAAATCCTTCTACAATGTCAGCAAAATAGTAACAAAGAATCTAAATAAATGTAAGGCCGATGGTCATGTACGTGTCTGGAAGGGGACTTTGGAAGGACACCAAAGGACTCCATGGGCTCATCTGACACGGCCTGTTTCGATCGTACTCCGGAAAGAACACGTCCAGTTTTATAAGTAAACTCCGCATTTTTTCTCTGTATCGTTTATGTAATATTGACAATATTTGAATTAGTGTGTACAAATATTTTATTTAAGTTTCATGTACTATTTCTAAAAACCATACGAATCACTTTTGTGTATTTTGTGTAATAACCCACATAGCAATTTCAATATATTAATATTGTCAAAATATTCTTACAAAATACTTTTTAAAATATTTTGAATAAAATATTGTGACAATATCTCTTAAACATAATAAAAAATATATTCTATTGAAATATTTTCATAATATGCTCACAATATAATTTTTTAAATATTTGTTTATGTATATTTTGATAATATATTAAAGAGAATAAATACAGTATATTACACCGAAAATATTTCTACAATGTGCTTAAAAAATATTTTTTTAAATATTTGCTTATAAATATTATGAAAATATATTAATTAAAATAAATATAGAATATTTAACTTGAAATATTTGTTGAATATGTTATCAATTCAATTTTTTAAATATTATAAATATATATCTTGTTGGCCAACTGAGGTAACTTAAGAGACACAAGCCATCCTCTTTTCTCCCTTTAGTTACATCTTTGGATGATATTGGTATCTTGTTATATAATACTTATGTATTATATATACATATTCCTAAATCTTTAATAAGTAAACAGCCATTTTCTCTAATTAGTATCAATTTTAATTAACCTAATTCAATTAAGCTAAGTAAGTCAAGGACAGTAAAAAAAACCGTGTTGCTATTATTTGCAGGCCTATTGAGTTAAAGTTTTTTTAGTTTTATCAGCGCAATTATAACTTATTATTGTCCTGTGAAACCTAAAATCCTAAAAAGTTTTTTTATTATAGTTAGAATATATTTCTATATTATCAACAATAATAGTCAGTTTCTAACTTACAAGGAGAAATCATAATGATGGGATCGCCGATTTTCAAAAAAATTATATAAATCTAATCTAAATTGAATATAAAATTGTATTTACTTTGAATTTTAATAAACACGAAAAATTACTTAACAGACAAATAACCATTTGAACTACCTTAAATAGTCTTTTTTATCCTAATTTAATCGAAGCAACCTGTGGGTCAATGGGTCACGTACGAGTTCAAAACGCTAGAAGTACTGGGTTTGAATCCCGCGTAGCGGTTTAATTTTTTGCATTTTTTTAATATATTTATAAAACATTTTAAAAATATTGTCACAATATATTTTTTATAATATTTTAGAAATATACCTTTAAAATATTGTGAGAATGTAATATTCGCTGCCAAAGTATATTCTGAGAACATTGTGAGAATATTTCAATATATTCTGGTTATATTCTAGAAATATTTTAATATCAAAAATAAATATTCTAGGAATATTCTAGAAATATTTCATTGCTATGTGGGAAGTGACAATAATTATATCATTTGATAATTGACATCAACTTGTTTTGTGTTGAAATTATTATTACATAAATCCTGTCTTTGGCATTAAGGATAACATAAATATTCAGGTAACACTATTTGAACTCAACCTGCATGCTTTATTTTACAACGATAGACCCTCGATCCATACGTCCGAGTGAAGAGTCAGATCCCGCGTATTTCCCCTTTCATTTCAATCCTAAATCCTCCCCTTTCTCTTTTTCGTATTTTTTTGTTTTACAACACGTCACTATTATTTATACGGAACAACACTAAAATACCCTGTTCATGTACTCAACAATGCTATCTTTTTAGTATTTATTAATATATTCTTTTTTCATTTCAAATAGTCACCACTTCTATGCATAGAAATGGTACATTTTAACTTGTTTCATTATACATTATATTCTTACAAGGACATGATCCATTTCGAACAAAAACTTAGATAAATATTTAAGAGAAATAGTCAAAAAACTCACACTGTTTGGCTACATTGTAATGTATGCGGCTCGGTCATAAATCAATTAATAATTACTTTTAAAATCCTTCCTCACCAAAAGAAAATCTATATATTATTTTTGACATCTTTGTTATTCTACTATTAATAGTTAAATGCATTGTATTAATCTTACTTGTGAAAAAAATATGTTAATGTTTTATATGTAAATGTCAAAATAATTTATGTTCTATTCATCTGTACTGATCTCTGTGTTTCATGCTTATTCATCAATAAACAATTATACTAAAAATTCGACACAGACGATTTTTGGGGGTAAAAATAAATTATAAAAAGCCAGAGCAAACTCTTGCTCCGGGCTGTTCATTTCGTGCTCCGTATTAAGCTATGCAAACGTCGTGATCGTCATTGTCGAAGTTTTTATATGTTAATTTGTGAACTAAAAATTTGAACTTGAATTATTTTATTTATCATTTTTACCAATATCATCACTAAGGAACCAGAGAATTTACCAGGTAAGATTTTTTTAAATCCATAAGGAAATTTACATTGTTATTTTATGACCCTTGAATTACACCCCGAATCAAAAATAACTCTCACCCACATTTTTTAACAACAATAAAATAATTATTCTGACTTTTTTCTTTTAATATTTTTTTTATATTTTTTATTAAATTTTTGAGTTACGACATGTCACTTAATGAAAATGAAAATTTAGCTAGTTCAAATTTTAAAGTTATTTTTTTCGACTTCAAAGAAACAAAAAAAATTAAATATGTTTAACTTTATATGCCATGTCAATTAGATTAATATAATATTTATGAAAATCAGTGTAATCCCCTTAAAATAAAATAAAATACAAAACCAAAAATTTTAACACAAAAATAGCATATTTTTGAATACAGTAGCTATTTTCACCATGAAGACAAAATAAATTCCGAATTTTTTTTTTATTATATTAAAGTATATTACATAAGCTTTAATTTAAGATATATATATAAAAGTGTCAATATTTCCGGAACACTTTCAAAAATTAAGTTTAAAAAGTTAATTTATTGTGAAAAAGTTGTCATTTTGAATCCCCCCTTGTGGGTTGGTAAAGGATTAAAGTTTATAAAAAAAATATACCAAATGATAGGTAAAGACATCAAACATCTATAAAAAAAAATTATATTGATTTGTTCATTTTTGAAAAGTTATGGCAGTTTTAAGTAAAATAAATTGAAAAAATTTCGAAAATTAGCGATTTTTAAATTTGTAATTTTTTTGGAGATTTACCCCATTTACGGGGAACAAGGGAAATTTTTTTCAATTTTTGAGGGTAATGTCTTCGACTAGATACGATTTGTGATCTTTTGACGTATCTTTGAAAGAAATCCGTTCGGTAAGAGCTGAGAAAAAGTGGGTAACAGACACACACAAAAAAAAAAACACATCATAGTAAAATTAATACCTTCTCAGCTTTGCATCGAAGCTAAAAAGTAACGAAAAATGTTGGCTGGATCAAAAATTATTAAATTTGCCAAATACACAGTGGATTACTCTGTATATGTATTTTTTCTAAAACTCCATCATTATGAATTTTATATTATATTTTTGGTTTCAACGTAATTTTATTGCACAAATAGAAGAATTACAAGAAAATATAAATTCAATTCATAACTTTTTATATTTAATTAATAGGTGAATTTAGTTTATCTATTCTTTTCAGAATTTAGTTGGAATATTCTTAAAATAGTATAATCAGCAGGTCCCATATTAATTTTTACATGTTTAAAATAACTCTCCAATTGACTAGTAAATAACAACAATTGGTTATCTGTTGATTTATATTTATTAAGGCTTTTAAAATCAATTGTTGGAACTTTAAAAGTTATTGCTAGTTTATTGAAACAGCCCATGACATCTTTGGTGTACATCAATAAATGATTAAAATTCATTATTGTATCGTTTTTCATATAATTTATAAAATTTTGGAATGACGAATGAAAAACTTCATTTGAAAATACACCTATTTCATTTAATATGTTTAATGGAATTTTAAACAAGTTCAAAAAATGTTCTCTCTGAGTAATTATACTCTCCATATCTTTTGTAAAGTAATCAAGAAGATAAATACAGTGGCGAGTCAAAAAATAATAAGTCACCAATAACAAATTTCTCTTTATAGCGTCAGTATATAATAACAATATAAAATAATTCTTTTTCCAGTTTTGGCACACTCTATAATATACATCTTCTAAATGAGTTTTACTGTAAGTTGGAAACATTTGTGTGGGAGGTATGAATGTCTTGAAACCTTCCTCGTTATCCCAAAAAAAACTATAAATATTTGATACATCTTCATATTTATAAATTTTGTTTAACGTCTGTGGATAATTGGGGAACAAATTTATTTGTTGTGAAATTTCGCATATCATATCAAGATATGAATTATTCTGATATAGGCTATAGACATATTGTAAATGATTATGTTTAACGCAATCTTCACAAATTTCAATAATTGTAGGTGTGATATAATTGAATTTGATTTCATGAGGAAATATTTTTTTGTCAATTAATGCATCTATTGTAATTGATGTTAACCAAATGCCTTTTGTAGCATGGCCAAATGTATAGTAGTATATCGATATCATTCGATGCAAAATATTCTTGAATATATCTAGTTCATCAAAGTTAATTGTAATTCTATTTACGATGAGAAATTGCATGTGGTACATTATATAAAGTGAAAGTTCTGTGTACTTACATTCCAATTTCCACATTTTTTGTTTAATTTTCTGGTCATTCCAAATCAAAAATTTTTCATTAGTTTCATTACTTTTAAGAAGATTTTGTAGCTCATCATCCGTAAATAATAAATTTTCTGGTCCAGGTATATCATTTAACAAGTTTATGAATTTGGCATTGCGTTTTTGTTGCTATAAAATAATAATATATGTATACATTTATTCGTAATTTATAAATTTAAACTATATTATAATATTCTGTATAATACATATTCCTTTTATTCAAAATTTTGTGAGAGAGAATTTAATGATAATCGCCTTCAAATCATTAAGACAGTAAAAGATATTCTTTTGCAAAATGTTTAGAATAAAAATCATTTAAACATTTACAGACCACTTAATATTAATGAAAATTACTAAAATATCAATGAAATGAATGAGACTAACTTCTAACTTAGAAGAATAAGGGCCCAATTTAAAAATTCGAACCTAAAATGAATAAACTTGAAGGTATTTATTAAAACGACGATTCTAAATTAATAAAAATAATATTTTTAATATACATTTTTTTGACTTCTGAAAAAAAGTTGAAAACTTGATTAGGGCCCTTGTTCTTATTAGTGCCTCAATTTTGATATGCTATAATACATACATTAACGACGTAGCTATTGGGCCCTCTAGCTACGCCACTGATGAATTTCGAGAAGGGACTGCATACTTTCCCCAAAATTCATGTGTCGACTAAAATTCTCTACAATTATAGGATTTGTTTTTTTTATCAAACATATTACTTTAATAAATTGTAAAATGTAATGATCAACACATTTGATAAATTAAAAAAATCACTTAAGATATTTTATTTTAAATTATTAAAATGAAGGAATAAAAATATGTTATCTTTTCTTCTAGACTAGCTCTTTACGATGCATTGTTTTAATAGGACGGTAACATTTTACTGTCATGACCGTTTCAATATTATACATGCAGTAACCTAGAAATGCATTTTATAATAATTGAGCTTATATCTATTTATTATATTATTAGTGTTATAAAATTTCGAGAAATTAGTACTAAGGAAATAACTTTAAAATAAATTTTATTTTGTTTGAAGACACTAGTTGTTTAAAAAGTTAATCATCATCATTTAATTTGAAGCATTTTACGGACATTTTAATAGAACCAATTGAGTCTTATAAGTTATATAAGTCTTTGTGCAAACACTCTCGATGGTAGTACACTGTTATATTCTAAGAATAGCTTTAAAATAGTAGGAAAATTGTGTAATGATTCTTGTTTTTCACAATTCAAATAATTTTCCTATTTATATTCATTATAACTTTTTTTTTTTTTTTTACTGGTACCAAAAAAATATATCTTATCTGGAGTTAAATACTTCAGATAAGATATATTATAATGTAAGTTAAATACATTCATTGCTAAGGAATGCTAGTGTACATTCTGTTTCAGAACTTAACTTTTGCACTGATTTTTCAAAGATTGCTTTTAATCATTTCTGCTACAGTTTTTTCAAAACCTTGTAACCAATTTAATTTAAATCTAGGCAACAAGTAAACTGTCGAAATAAACTCTATTTTTTACGCATGCTCAACTATCTTTTTCACTGATTATTTTATGGATTTTATTGAACCATTAAAATAAATTAATTGTTTTTTCTATAATTCAGTCAATTTAATCGTAAAGTGTTAGAAGGAAATAACCCATATACATTTTTTCCCCAATTTTCAAAAATCTAAAATATCAAGGTTCTAATGTATCGCAATATTTACAAAGAAAAGTTATTTTATGAGATGTGAATCATGATAATTCAAAATATTATAAAACCTTATTCATTTTGTCAATAACATCAATACACTTATAAGTGTTTTGATTTGAAGAAAACACGTCATTACATACAATACCATCTGGTTTGATTAGGTTTTTTTAATATATTATATTAAAAAACTATTATAGACTGTTTTTGTTTACTCCGTAATATTGAACATTTTAAAAATAAAAACCATTAGTTTTTTAAGCGTTATATGCAGATTTTAAAGTACAATAATTATTTAACTATTTTACTGGCATTTTATTTTGCATATTCGTAATCAGAGTAAAAAAAACAAATTTTTAAAGATTTAAAAAACAAAAATTAAAAAAAAATTGATAACGTCTGGAAGCTAAACTAAATTTGTTTCAAAAAAGTATACTGTAAAATGTATTCAAAAATTTTCAGGTTAAATTTATCGAGAAAACATAGTTAGGCCATACATACATTGATTTATATTAGTAAAATATTCAAATGAATTAAATCTGCTTACCCTGTTTAATGGCAATTGACAGTTTAACTGATACAAAAAAGCGAAGAAATAAACGACGTGGAATATTATTTTACGTACCATTATAGCAAAAGTAACTACATACGATTAACGATCTATTATAGAAGTGTTTATCTGCGGAGTTTAAATAATATATATTTTACTTAATATATTTGATTTATATTTGTGAATCAAACTAAAATTATTTTATAAAAATTTAAATACTCACACAATAGATATTTTTCACCGATGCAGATGTAAACACATACGTTTTTTACGCCAGTTATTCATTATGGCAAGTAAAGTTAAAATTTGTTTTATTATTAATAGACACAAAAAAAAGCACATTAATATTTTTCATGTTAAAGATAAATCATTAGAGATGTATAATATTTATGTTAATACCATTGTTATAAATAGTATACTAATGTAGTATAATAAAAATATCGTACTTTTTCGTAATACTTTTTGTATTAAATGCAAATACTTTTCATATTACTTTAAACGCAAATTTTATATTTAAATATATTATTCTTAAAGTATTTTTCATATAATAGTTTAATAGTTTCAAAATGATTTATTTATCATTATTGTGTGGCTTAAAATAATTATTAAAGTTTCTATATGTTTACACAATAATGTCTTTCCTCCAATTTTTAATTTAACAGAGTCCTCATACACCAAATTAAAAACTAGCCATTGATTTTTTTCCTAGGATTCAATGTTTTGTACTGCTATTAAAACGGCATACGTAAAAATACAAATAACAGTATTATTTTCCTGTAAATAAACAAGAAAATATCCATGTAACAGTAATTAAAATCACTATAGTAAAACTATTAAATACAAATTTTGTTTGTTGGTAGTTATTAATAACTTTACAGCAATTCAAAAATATTTTTAGTGTAAATGAGAAAAGAAAATATGGTCATTATTGAGTGTTTTCTTTTCGTCGTTTTAATTCCATCGTTAATATTGTTTAATGTTCTTAGTCATTTTTTTTTTGTATAAATGACACGCTGTACAGTGCCGCGCTGGTTTTTATTATCGTTATGTAGTATTAGTGTTTCAAATCGTTAACTTAGTGAAAAAAACCGACGCGCATGCCACTATGTAAGCGACCAAAAATAAAATTTTGAAATTCATTTATAATTATGTTTTCTGTAGTTATTGATACATATATATTTAATTAAAACATACAGTCCATATCGAGCCCGAAACAAATATGATTATAATTAATTAGATATATAAACAAAATATATTTTATTTAGAGATATTTAGGTTTTTTTTTCTAACTGTTTTTGTCTAAACAAAATTGTTTTAATAGTTAGGTATTAAAATTTTATTGGGATTTAGACGCCTACAAAGTTAGAAATTTTATAAAAGGACACGTATATAGGTGCATTATTTCTGTTATTTCTTTTAATTTTTTTAGTTAAATATCTGCTTTATATACCATAAAAATTTGAAGTTTGAAAAAAAGTGTAACATGTAAAATTTTGCATTAGAAAGTTGTTCACAAACCACATTTTTTAAATTGTTTTATATATTATTGAATATGTAATATATTACAATACAATATAATTATTATATATGTTGTAATTATTCAATTCATTATTTTAGTTGCAAAATAAAAAATTAATTAATGAAATTATTATGATAATATTGTAAAATATTTTAGTCACTAGCGTGGAAAATTTGTAAAAAAATAAACATATTTTTTCAATAATATTCATTAATTTCAAATTAAAGTTTCCATTATTATAACGATTGTATTATTAAATAAACTAGATATAAATAATAATTGCTTAGGAAGAGAATTTTGCAGTACAATTTTTTTAAAAATTAAAAACCAAGGTAAACTACATTTTTATTTAATTTTTATGTTTTTCTTTTTATAATTAAAAATATTTAAATTTTTGTTACTTAAAAAAAAAAATGGTAGCAATGGGGTCATGGCATAGTTGGAACATAATTATAAATGAATTTCGAAATTTTATTTTTGGTCGCTTACATAGCTATTTTGGTGTGCGCGTTACATTTTTTATTAAATCTCAAGAAAATTATTTTAAATATTTGAAGTTTAGTTGAGTTCAAAAACGTCAAATTTCACAAAAACGCTATTTTTAGAAAGTCATTAAAGTTTAGATTTTCACATAAATTTTCTTTTTTTATGTCAACTTTAAGTTATAATAAGATTAAGTCTAAAATTTTAATCCAATTAATTCAATATTGAATAATCTATGTGTTTTTTAACATTCTGGCTATTTTTAACAATATTTTATATTGAAATAGCCATAAAAATGGGAAGGTCATAAAAAAAATTATTTTAATCTAAATATTACATAAAGAATAATCTCTGAAAATTTAAGAAAAAAACGAGATGGTCAATTGCCGTTAAAATAGTTGTAGCTTCAGCGGGATATATTAAAGATTTATTTGGTAATTTATAGATTTAATTTGATTTGTTTTTACTAGAGCATTTCCAACTCCTGTTTCGTCTTTTGAAGCGTTTATATATACATAAATTATGTGTATAATTTTTATATAGATTAAGTTAATCGAAGTCACCCGGTTGATATTGGAAAAACAAGATCTATAATGTTGTCGAATTGGTAGGGAGCGTTGAGACGTAGGCCTTTTTATTGTATGTTAGTTGTAAATCGGATGTCGAATGGTAATGTCCAGCGTACTTAAATATTTTATTCGTATATCAAATATACAAATTAATTAAAACATACTAAAAAAATAAAATAAATGATCAGTTTTACATCCTTCTGATGATGATATCAAAATTTCATATTTTACTTATAGAGTTCTTAGTTTCACCACTAAATGCAATAAAACTATATTTGTGTCGTTTAGCAACGTTTTTTGGGTCAAAATTGTCTGGGTTGTACTTTAGAATGTTAAGTTTGACTTAAGTATATTGCGATACTTGTCATGGTACGTTTTAATTAATTGTAACACTCGCGCGTGTGATACTATTGCTGATATGAATTGATGCTTATGCCATATATTTTCTATGTTAGATGTTACAATTTCAGCTATAGAGACTACATTTGGCTCTAAAATTAAGTGGCCTATAGTTATTTTTTGTAATCTAGTGTCTGCAATAATTATTAGTTACTAGACCGACATAAATCGTTTGCTGCGTCTCTGGATATGTTTATCTTTTATTTCTTTCATAGCCTTCTGAATTTAATGTATTCGTCTTTCAACGGTAGTCGTAACTGTATTAATCTACTGTTATCAGTACTATTGTCCTAATTATCTCACGTCTATACTGTGCCATGACTCTACTGTGCTACCGTTTTTTTTATTTCGTTTTATTAAAAATTAAAAAATATTTTTACTGGGCATTTCCCTAAACTCCGATCATTCAATTATTATTTTTAACAGTCCTACCTAATAACCCATTAGTATATTTTATGTTTATTTACGCGTATAAAAGTCAACATTTTAAAACTTAATTAGCGCTAACTAATTTAATTTCCTTTTATTTAATCATAACGTAAAATAATGTAATACGCGGGCTTAGGTAATTTAATCGTAGTTTGTGTTGCTACCTATACAAATTTTTTACTATTAATACCATCCTGATCTATTTTATTTTCAGTTACAACAGTAGATTGTGCGTTATGGATGCTTAATCATTTCAACTAAGTGCAGTCTGATTAAAACGTTGACTTATATAATGATGCACAAAAATTAATATTCATGAAATTTATTAATTCTATTTTGTTTATAATTTAGAAAATATTTTTCCATTTAGGAAAATTGTCGAGTTCCATTAAAGTGTTAAATCTTCTAACGAGATAGCCTATTTTTACAATATTAAATAAAAAAGCAATAGAAATAATAATGTTTATTTAAAAATTCAATTTATTTGGTACTAAAGACTATTTTATTATTTTAGTACATTTTCTCCAATGAAATAGTTAACAACAATGAGCATTGTTATATTATTAAACAATAAATGTAGTTTTAAAATTATAGTATGCTAATATACATTGTTATAAGTTATAATTATTATTACAATATAAATTAAATTATTTGACATCCCCTCCAATAATATATACTACTCTTAGGTCTTTCCTAATTTAGAAGGTTGAATCCAGCATATTTTGTTGCATGTATATATATATATATAAATAAATTCCTATTTTTTGTTGTTTTTTAGTGAAATAATTCAAGCTAAGTTTTATTCGTTACAAAATTATATTTGACTATATACATTTATAATAAATTACATTGAATTTTTAAAGGTGAATTAAGAAATTTATATATTTTGTTACTAATTTTCCAATAACTCGTTATTTGATTAATTTTATATGTTTAAGTTATTCTAACGTATTATGATTCATTTTAATCAAAACCATTAAATTAGTAATAGCAGGTATCTTTTTTTAATTCTGTAACAATTATAATTTTAATTTATTTTATGGAAGAAAGAACAATTTTTCACAGTGTCACCTACTATTTCATATCATACATTAATTAATTATTCCTAAAGTATGTATAAAATATCAAATATGAGTTATCGATAAATCAGTGACGATTTGTTTCAAGTTTCTTACGTTGTAAAATATTAAATAAATATTCAGTTTTGTTTTAGTTTGCTCGATTAGTCTGAAAAGTGTAGCTGTTCGTATACACTTCTCCAACGTATTCAAATACAATGGGTGTATTATGGCAAACAAAAGCCGAGTTAGTTGGTTATGGTGTTATAATATTTTTAGTAATTATTTGGTGTCGCAT